TTAAGATGGCAGGTATGTTTGGTTGTATTAAGATGGTAGGTATGTTTAGTTGTATTAAGATGGCAGGCTATTTGGTTGTATTAAGAAGACAGGTGTCTTTGGTTGTATTGAGATGGCAGGTATGTTTGGTTGTATTAAGATGGCAGGCATGTTTGGTTGTATTAAGATGGCAGGTGTCTTTGGTTGTATTGAGATCGGGAGTATTTGGCTGAATTAAGACAGGAGGGTTTTTGGTTGTATTAAGATTGCAAGTGTATTTGGTTGTATTAAGAAGGTAGGTATGTTTATTTGTATTAAGATGGCAGGTATGTTTGGTTGTATTAAGACGGGAAGGTTTTTGGTTGTATTAAGATGGCAGGGTCTTTGGTTGTATTAAGATGGAGGTATATTTGGTTGTAATAAGATTGGAGGTATTTGGCTGAATTAAGACAGGAGGGTATTTGGTTGTATTAAGATTGCAAGTGTATTTGGTTGTATTAAGATGGTAGGTATGTTTGGTTGTTTTAAGATGGCAGGTATGTTTGGTTGTAATAAGATGGCAGGCAATTTTGGTTGTATTAAGATGGCAGGCGTATTTGGTTGTATTGAGATGGGTGGGTATTTGTTTGTATTGAAATGGCAGGTTTTTTTCGTTGTATTAAGATGGAGGTATATTTGGTTTTATTAAGATCGGAGGTATTTGACTGAATTAAGATGAGAGGGTGTTTGGTTGTAATAAGATTACAGATATTATTGGTTGTATCAAGATCGGGGGTATTTGGCTGAATTAGGATGGGAGGGTGTTTGGTTGTATCAAGATGGCAGGTGTATTCGATTGTATTTCAATGGCAGGTATGTTTGGTTGTTTTGAGATGGGAGAGTATTTGGTTGTATTATGATTGGAAAAGGATGTTTGGTTGTATTAAGGTTCAGTATTTGCCTCGAGATTTGGAACTTAGAAGTTGTCTGAATAAATTTTATGTCTGATGTGTTGTACTGCATGGGGTTAGCATAAAGAGTGAAGTTTTGTCAAAGAGATCATAGGGACTTGACCCTCTCAATATTGTGCTTACGTTACATACTTCAGTACCAAGAATGGTAGAGTGCATTGCCGCCATCTAGCCGAGAAATCCTAGCCGAAATGAAAGAGTTGGCATCGGAAAGAATGGAAAAAATAATGCAGGCTATTGGGAAAGTAATTGAAAGAGATTTCAGGTGTGAATGCAGCATGGATCCGTTTCTTATTCAAAGCAAATATGCCCACCTTTAAATTTTTTCACATCGTCACTATTGCTTGTTTCATAGGCTTAAATTTTCAGCATTTCATATTTAATAAAAACAAGATTCTTTTTTAAATTGTTTTAGTATACGAGAGATAGCTTGATAATATGATGAGGTATCTTATCTGGGTATCGTTCAATGTCTTATCTTGCTATCTACTTTAAAAAACCTAATCTATCTTTCTTTTCTCACATTAGCTGCCTTATATATTTATACTATCTGATTCGCATTGTTTATCCTGCGTATATCTAATTCTTTTATCTCATCTATACTACTCCATCTACATATATCACAGATAATACCTTATCTATTCACCTATCTCACACGGCAAAATGGTTCCTAACTTAATATTCTTACAGAGTGCGCTCAAAGTGAGAACCGCGAGGTAATCTGCCAGTTTTTGAATATAAGAGAGCATTGAATCCTGACTTATGCATATTAGATTACATTGATGCGTGACTTAAGCGTATGAGATTACATTAATGCGTGCGGGTAAGGGGTGGCATAGTAAATATATTTTATATTGAATTTAGCTGGTGACGATCAAAAGTGGTATAGTAGCGAGGTTGCATCGAAATTTGACTTAATATTCATATCCTCTACCTGACTACGTCGCCGACTACAATGAACTTCCCAACGCCAGCTATCTCTCTCTTATCAATATCATCACGGTTAGAAAACGAGAGATATAGCTTGCTCGGCTCGATTTCGGATGATTGTCTGCGTGTTTTGACGAACATCCGTATACACTGAAGGGCTTTATTACGTCGCTGTGACTTCGTAGTGACGTAATTTTTGGATGGCGTAGTCAGGTTGGGGTAAGAAATGACATATGCAAAAATTGTTGAGTCAGGCCAACTAGAAGTACTTGTGGGGGCGTGTACTTCGACTTCCTAACAGAGTAGTTAGACATATCATATCTTGAACCCAAATGCCAACTCGCTTATAAGACAGCCTAACAACAACGCTAAAAAATTTAGTCTGGCCATGCTCTTGCTCCCATCAAGTGTTGGGTTCTTCCGTTCTGAACTATTTAATTATTACGAACATTGATCAAAGCCCATTATGGTGCGACTATGATCAATTCATTCTGAATATGTATTAAAATAGCATTTGCCATTTCCTCACGTTGATGAGATACAAAAAACTTTCAAATCCAATAATATTTTTTATTTGTCCCTGAAAACGAATGAAATATTCCATAAAATAAAGCAAACAAAACAATAAAATACAGGGAAAGACAATATCTTAGTCTTGCAATGGGAGCTTCATAGTGAATAATTATAAAACAAATATTTCATTTTCAAATTTTGAAATTTCAAAAAAAAAAAAATTAAAAAAAGTGAATATATTTACCAAAGTATTTTAATATAAAAACACAGGTGTTTACCAATTAAAATTATACGTTTTGCTTATCTTCTCAAAAAAATTTTTTTGCTCATTTGGTTCAAAAGCCTTCGTTTTGTCATATTGTCAAATAAAACGAATACCAAAAATATATAATAGGATATATATCTCATCCTTGCAATGACACCTCTACAATATTTTTTCATAGAGAAAGCAAAGATTACAACAAAATATCAGAAAAATACAGATAAAAAGAATATTGATGTTTCAAAAAATAGTGAAATTCAAGATTTCGAAAAATATTAGTTGTAGATATTTTAAAAAATAGATACGTTTTAAGATACTCCAGCAACACGTGAACCAAGACACCGGAACGTAGTATGTGTACCAGATTAGGGTTAGGCTACAATTTTATTCAAATTTACATTATTTTAGTTCTATTACGGGTTCGGGGAGTAGCCAAGTGACTCCCGTAGTATTTGTACCCGAAATTATGGTTCAACATTAACCCGGTACACATACTACGTCCCACTGTCCGCTATCTTGGTTCACATACTACAGGAGCTAGCATGTGATTTTAGTATGAAGCAATATTCAGATATTTCAATGAAAAATTACAGATGTTTACAAATCAAAAAATACATTTCTCTCATCTTGTCAAAACTATTTTTTAGGTTTCACTGTTTGGACGGGATTCATAGGTTTGTGGTAACATTCATATAATGTACGTTCTTGTTTTTAAAGCCATAACTTCGACATAGTTTTCTGTTATTGGAGAACCCGTTGTTAGTAAAATAAAATACGAATGAGAACCCTTTCTTAGCAACGGCTCCCAACCGGAGAACACAGAGCAGTTGAAGGGAAACACAATGCTTGAAGCAAAACTAATTTTACTTTTCTCTTGACAAGAAAACATTCCGTTCTTCCTAGTTTCATTGCTTGATAAGGTTATTTCACAGGGTGTTTTCACTTTATTGAGCATGAATTGTTTGAACATAACGAAATTTGGAATCTAACACTATAAACAGAGGTGGGCAAGCTTTTTGGATTGGGGGCCAAAAATTTTGCCCACTAAGACTGGCGGGCCATGTAAGTGTGACATAATAAGTTACATTTTTTAACCAATATTTACAGTGTTAAAAAGGCAAAAGTGGAAAGCAATAAGCCCCATGCGAAACTAAATTAAATAGCAATCTCAACGAATTTCTTGAGTTATTTTAAACTAAAACGTCGAAATTTCGGTTTGGTTTGGTTGTGGAAGCATCAGGCGGGCCAGTATGAATTACCCAACGGGCCCAATTTTCTTTGCGGGCCGTAGTTTGCCCAAGTCAGCTACAAATACTACTCGAATGATAAACAGGGGCCAAGGTGCTAAAACTTTCCGGAAGGGGGTCATGTTCCATAAAGAGTTGGGGACCACTGTGCAAATCACAAAACAACGATAGTAGATAAGGAAAGTCAGTGATGTTCTTCAGATGGTATTCAATTAGTTCTTTGAAGAAATATACACCAAAAGTATTTCAGTAAAAACTTACAGAAGTTTAAAAATAGTAAATATACGTTTTTCTCAAAACAAGTTTTGCTTTGATTTTGCTTTGCTATCTCGGGTTAAAGTCCTCGTAGCATCATAGAAAAATCAAAAGATAAACGACAAAATCAATAAGATACAATACAATAGAAGTAAAGTCATGCAGTGGGATCTTTATAGTAATTAAATGCAGTAAAAGCAACAAAGTGGACATTTCATTAGAAGAATTACGGTCAAACGATGAGTAAGTTTTAAAACAAAATGGATCGAGAATATATTTTCGGATATGCAAAATTTGAAAACCAATATTCGTTTACTCCTAAAGCACACATTTTTATTTAAAATAACATAGATTATTATTCATTTAAAACGTGTAAGAGAGAAAAAAATCTTTGCGCCATTGACTAGGTCTTATTTTAAGGTTATATCAAAACCATTTTAAAAATTCAGGTCAGGTCTTATTTTTAGGGAAACACGGTATTTTGCGTTTCGAAAATTAAATATTATATTTATGTAACGCGTGTCATGTTAATGTAGCTAACGTCATAACATGCATATATTCTCTGAAATGAGCGAACCCGTTGTTGGTGAGTTCGACACAAAGGCGAACCACCCGTTTCTAAAATTTTGAATTCCATCACTGGAAAAAAGATAATTGAGACACCGTGATATTAGCTAAATAACAGGCGCTCTAGAAGTCTGTGTACCAATATGGAGGTATCCTTTTTTTTTTGCCTATTTTTAATCAAGTTGTGTAAAGGGACTGAAATCTATGGGCAGGGGGTATATTCACTTGGCTAACACAGACAGTCCCCGAACTCGTAATAGAACTAAAATAATGAAAATTGGAATAAATTATGGCCTAACCCTGGTACACACACTACGGGAGTATCAAATAACCACCGGAAATTTCAAAGCAATTGGTCCAGTAGTTGATAATAAAAGCGATTTTTTCATATCAATAACAAAGGAAATGACAAAACGATGTATATATATATATATCCATTTCGTGTCCAATAACTAGGTAAAAGTCCAAAAACAGGCATTTTTTCTGCTTTTACCATAAAATATGTTTCGAGCTCAGCGCTCGCATAGTACAAATTTTTCCACGTCCCCCCAATTCCAAAGAAACTGATTGACTCTCTCTCCATTCTTTGTCACGCGCAGATAGATTAGTTTGCCGTTGTTTTTTGGAAAAACTTCTCTCCACCTGAAGTGAGTCTTGTCCACTGCAGTTCCGTTACGGAAGGAAACACTTCCATTCTGAAAATATGAAAAAACGGCGATCAATCTGCGATCACTATTGTTCTCTTATGTGGGGCACAAGACCACTCTTTCCTACTCTTATGATGTCATATCACCGTGCTATGAGGTCATTATTATGTATTATGACGTGACTATTTACTGATCGCTGATGCAGTTTTCTATAATGTGATGAATATATTTGAAAGCTGAAAAGCGTAATAGTGAGTTATCTGAAATTTCATTTTAGAAGAAATATTGGATGTTATGGCGTCATAATTGAAAACGTAACGTCATTGTTAAAATTGCTTTTAGGTGTTTTCTTCTGGATCTATAAATGATTTTGCGTCAGACAGTTTGATATTCGCCTTATTTTAGTCGGCTTTAGAAGTACAAGGCAAATACCAGGGTTGACTCAGATAGCTTTGATTCGAAAATGAACGCCGTGATCGTCAACTCCTTGCCCCTGCGTGCGGAACCCCTTTAGTTCTCACCTCGTTATAGGTCATTCCAAGATGAAAGTTTCTGTGTCCTTCAATCTTAAAATTTGATCGTATGAAATCTCCTATTCTATCCATGTGATCGTCATTATAAATATTCGCCAATTGTCCACCAATCTCCTTGCATCTCGATTCTGCTTCAGTTTTGTTACTTTTCGCCGCCTTTATTAGAGGAGTCAGAGGGATAAACAACTTGCCATCGTATTCCAAACCATTAGGAACAGTAGTACTGAGAACATCTGCAAAATAAAATCAAATTGTTTTTTGCACTAATTTGAAATCGCTAGCTTTTCAAGGAAATACAGGACACTTCTGTTATAGAATGTCAAGTAATCGACAACAGCAAGCTGCCCCATGCATGTTTTTAGAAAGCCAGAACAAAATCAAGCCTTACGTATCTCAACCTTGATGTAGTATTGTCTCTGATAATCAGCAGTGATAACACAGTTTTGCATCATGTTTGCTTATACAACCATCTCGAATAGATGGTAGTTAAAATTTTTAGGCCGCGCCCCCTTTTTAGAGTTTATCAAGTCTCGCGCCCACCTCAAAAATAACTAGCTAACAATAAGCTACAAATAACTGATAGTAAGGCGAAAGTATGTTTTATCCCCCCCCCCCCCCCCCCAAAAAAAACGTTGAAAATACATAGATGGAATCGATGGAATATTATTTTCAATTCACGCCCCTTCAAAAACTTGTCTAACTTGTACCCCCCTCCCTCCTTGTGGGGCGCGCCCAAACGTTTGAAAACCACTAGAGACTGAGAGCTATCGTGTTTCTGGCTAAACCCGAATATATTTAGGCCCTCAAAACCTTCACTTTGGTGTGGTATTAGAAATATAGTTCGAAATTGCACTCATGGACTGGTAACTAAACAGAGGCTATTTTTGGTTATGGTGGGGCATTACGCGCTAGTAAATATAAATTTACGTTAAGCTTGAATTAACGTCCCAAGTCAATACGATCAGGGAAAGAGCTATGAAGCAATGAATTCAACAATATAGAAGATTTTGAAAAAAATTCGGCTTAAGTAAACCATCTAAATTTTTCCGCCATTTTTTTTATCGTATGACGTCATATTTTATAGTATGACATCATATTTTCGATATTGTGATGTCATGAATAAATATATTCAAAAGTTCTTGGAATATGAATACTACTTCTTGTTGAAATATTATTGGCGATATTTTGCCAGGGTCCAACCATCTAATGACTTTCTTCTCACTCAGGGCACTTATAAAAATCTTACCCCAACCTGTGGTCACAGTCATGGTCGACTCTTGGTGTGTGGAAGCAACAGAAGTGATCGATCGAGTTATGAACACGTTTTCAAGCACTTCCGATGTTGTGACGTCATCAGCTTTCCTGGTGCGGTGGCTACTTCTTGCTGCAGATGACGTAACGGCTTTAGTGATGTCATCACTTTTTGTGGTGGTGACTAAAGTAGTGTCATCCAGTCCATCCGCAGTTGTCACGTCAAACTTGGTGACTTGTGTTGACTGAACTTTGTTGCCATGGTAAATATCGGTTTCTATGGTAACCTCTTCTATCTGCTTATCCAGTAGCGCTCTTTCCAGGGTTTCGGTCAACTTTTCTCGTAATTCTGCGAAAAATAAAACGATTTTATATTTTCAAAAGTCCTACTATGTATACCCGACTAGGTCTACAACCACCTACACCGAATTGACTCCGACTACCACCCTTGTGTCAAGGCTATAGAGTCAACGCTTGATAATTTCGGAGTCGAAATTCTGGTTTCCAATAAGTCCGCATTTCAGACTTTTTATTGTAAAAAAGTAAGGAGTCTACAGAAACCCAAATAGTTGACTGAGCGTCATTAACAGTGTTTAACGGGGGTGGGCAAGGTTTTTGGACAAAGGGCCAACAATTTTGCCTACCTAGACTGGCGGGTCATGTAAGTGTGACGTAAAAGTTACAATTTATGGGCAATATTTACAGTGTTACAAAAGCCAAAGTAGAAAACAATGAGCCTCGTGCCAAAACTAAATTTAATCCCAATCTCAACAAATTCCTTGAGCTATTTTTTACCTAAAACCTCAAAATTTGGTTTTAGTTTGGTTGTGGCAGCATCAGGCTGGCCAGATTGGATTATCCAACGGGGCTTATTTGGCCCGCGGGCCATAGTTTGCCAATGTCTGGTCTATAAATTGAAGGATTCAGAATTTACGCGAGTCTTAAATTCAAAAACTTCAATAAGTCAAAAATTTCGACTTCAACTCTGAAACCTAAAACAAATAAAACCAACGAATTCCACATTCCAGAAATGCGCCACTAATATGCCCAAACCGGTGGACTTCACTACGCTGTCATCGTTGGTTTCAAATCTCATGCCCACCGCCTCACCGAGGATGTAATAAATTTTGTAGACAGTGCTGAACCGAAAAGATTCAAGCCCTTACAATAAATATAGTTCCGTACACATCGTTAGATAGTAGTGGTAGCTGTAGGGTATAGGGTATACGCTCTGTTCGGAGCGAAATTTGTCAATAATAAAAAATCCACGTAAAATAATAATATGCACTCACGTAGTGAATTACCCGTTACTCACCTTGCTCGTTCGTCGCCTGAAAAACAAAACAATAAAACTGATTAAGTTACGAAAGGGTTAAATATATCAAACTGAGCGTAATATGATCCACAATTACTCACCGTGATTGTTTCCTGATTACTGTATGACGTCATCACCGCACTGCCTCTGAATCGAACTCTCACAGAGATATCGACTGAGAATAAAAATGTTTTTACACGTTATTTCGTCCTCGGTTCCGAATTTGAATATACCGGTATGTAAAACTCTTGACTACGGAAAATTTGAAACTAAAACTTCAACGCCGGAGATTTCGAAAATTGGACTCCGACACCGAGTGCTTAAAAAACTACGAAGGTTGTGGAAATTGGACTCGAATTCCATAAGATTATAAAATAAAATTTCAACTCTGGATGATGCGAAATTAGACTTCGAACTTCGTAGGATTCGTAAATGAGACTCCGACTCCGGATATTCTAAAAAAAAGACTCCGACTCCGGAGGATTTAAAAATAAAACTTCAATCTCAAAGGATTCGAAAATGAGACTCTCACTACAGAATTGAAAATGAAACTCCGGCACCGGTGATTCGCAAAGAAGACTCCAAGTCTGAAGGATTTGTAGTCAAGTCTCCGACAACGGAAGATTCAAAAATAGGACCCCGACTCCGGCGGATTCAAAAACCAGACATCACTCCGAAAAAAAAACGAAAATGCAACTCCAACTACAGAAGATTAAAAATGATACTCCGCGTCCAAACGATTTGCAAATAAAAATCCGACCCGGAAGGATTCAAAAATAAAAATTCAAAATAAAAATTCAAACACTAAAGGATGAGAAAATGAAACTCGGGAGTCGGGACTCCGGTTTGGAAATAAGAATTCTACTCTTGCGAAGATAAGAATGTCCCCTATTCTTGCTTACAGATATTTAGTATTTTAAAAAATAAATCCTTACCTGTATTGGCGGCACCAATACACATGAACAGAGCGATGAATTTGAATGTTTCCATAGCAACTTTCTATATTCAGAGCAAAATTTACTCAGTGGGTGCCTGCAACCTTTTCACGAGCACCTTTATCTCAGAATTCGAGTTTAATACCTTAGCGAACGTGTTTAAAAACTTCCAAACCCAACTAACGGGTGCTCTGAGAGAACAACAAAACAAAAATAGCGAAACCTATTCCTGCCCTCACTTTTCCTATTCTACACTGTCAGAAAATTCGCAAATTCAATCGCAATTTTAGCGTAAATATTTATTGAGATATACCCATCATGCTTGTTTATTTTCGACTCGTACAAGGCCCAATTATAATTCAAACTAATTGACTCAAAGGTTAATGTGTGTATAATATTTCGTCATAGACCCTAATCTGTATAGTTGTATGACATCACAGATCATTGGAATGCTTCCGCGTATGGATTGCAACGGTTAAAAATCCATTAATATGAACGCTTAATATGATGCTTCTAATAACGTGAATTATGTCTATACCTACAATGTAAACGCTGGGTTGTAAACTTTGCACATGATTTTATAATTAATGTAAAGTAACCAGCAAAAGTTCAAATCTAATTCCTTATCCGAGATAATCAAACTCTGCTAAAAACACTTTAGCGTATGCAAGATTTCTCAAACGCGAACCCCAGATAGGAAAAAAGACATAACTTCAATATCAATCCTGGAAGACGAAAGCCTATCACAGGGGTGTAGTCAGAAAGGGGAGGGGAGGGGGTTGAAATTTTTATTTTCCAAGTTAGATCAAAACAGCCAGCGGGTCCGATCGAACGCTGGAATACGCGTGTTCTTATTAGTCTTGGCGGTCTAAAAAGCTACGGGAAATTGCTATCTACGATACAGAAAAATGATTTTATTTTTTTACATTTCAAAAGGGGGGGGGGGGGGGGGGGGGCCGCAAAACCACCCCCCTGGCTACGCGAATGGCCTATCAGACGACACAACTGTTCAGCAAACTATGTTTTGTTATAGCTGTTTCCCCAGACCAGCGGTACCCAATCGTGGCCAAGTGGCGCACACTCTCCATCGAGCCCGAGAATTACTGACTGTAGAGTGGTTGAACTGATCTAGCCGAGTCTTAACTTCTATACTGGGGTATTTTGCTATGTTTATATAATATTCAGTATAGCTTATGGCAGGGATGGACATTTACGGCCCGCGTGCCGGATCCGGCCCACATGTGTCTGCTGGAATTTAGTTATAGAAATAGTTTTGCTGCTGAAATAGTTTTAATAGATATAAATTTCCGTTGAAAATACCGAATCGTCGTCTACATGAGTTTCCAATCATTGTGACACTCGATGTTTGTTGGGTGATCCCGAAGTATTCGTACCAAGATGACGCACAACCTGAACATAGTATGTGTACCAGGTTAGGGTTGTTCAGGTTGTGCGTCATCTTGGTACGAATACTTCCGGCGTGCCGTTTGTTGTACATTAGCTGTTGCGCTAGTTATTTGTGATTAAACTTTATTTTTTTTGGGCGCTCCAGAAGTATGTGCACTAAGATGGCGCACAACCTGATAACCCTAACCTGATGCACATACTAAGTTCAGGTTGTGCGCCATCTTATTGCCTATATTTATTTATTTCGAGACTCCGGTCCAGTAATCAAGTCCATAATCCGTAACTGGCTCTCTCAGGAAAGTAATTGTCCACCCCTGACTCATGGCATAGCGTTAAAGCGTTGGGTTGGTAGCAGCTCATCCAGGGCCTTTTGAGTTTTGAGTGAAGACGTGAAAAATTCTTCCTGCTTAAACTCTCCCCATGCTCTTTTTAATAGGATACGTCAAAAGTTGTGCAACCTGCGGGCCAAATGTGGTCACAAGCAAAAGTTGTGCGGCACGCGGCAAGTGCCAATTTTGAACAATGTGCGGCCCGCGAAAAAGTTTTTCATTTCATTTAATTTGGTACATCTGAGTAATTCAAATTTTTTTTGCGTTACGAAGCCTATATATACCTGAGTCCAATTTATTATCCATGCATGTGACTTTACAATGTTAGAAAATCAATAACCTGAAATTTTGTGCCTACAACTACTAGAAAGCCTATGCTAAATAGAGGTGCGGATTGCGGTTTCACCCAGTTACTTCTATCTAACCAACTGGTTCTCAACCAGTGGGCCATGGCCCACTGCTGGGCCATAGAGACATTTTCAAGTGGGCCACAAGTCTATTAAAAATTACTTTGGTTATTGAAAAGTTTAGTTTCAGTTGTGTCATTATAGTCAAATTTTTATTGCAGTAGCAATGAATGAGGCTGCTGCTTTTCATTCTAGTTTCTGAAGTGGAGGTGTTTATTTTTTGCCAAAAGAGTCTTGTTTTTCTTGTTGTTTTTTTCTTGCATGAAAAAGTTAGTGGGCCACAGAATTTTTATAAAACGAAAGTGGGCCACGAAGGAAAAAAGGTTGCGAACCACTGATCTAACCCTCTTGTATTAAAGGTTAAACACCCGGGGTTATGTGATTCATATTCATTTTATTGAAAGCAATGTATATTTGTATTATTACATGATTACTACAAAGTAACAGAACTAAGGGCGTATTTTTGGGCGCAAATCAAAATGCATAAATTGAAGAATTGAAAAATAAAAACATGATAGATTTGCAAACGGCACACAAGAAAATAAAATGGAATACATGCGTGTAACAATTAAAAATGAGATAGATGTGCAGAATGCACGCGAGAAATTGAAGAAAAAAAATGGTTTACTACGGAACATTTGTTATGTCACAAAGTAGATCAAAACGCATATATAATTACAATTAAAGCGATTCACAATACTAAAATATAGTAAAAATATTTCAGTTGTTTCAACAAGGCTGTAGGGTCGCAGTTCGACGTATTTGAGCCCAGGTACTGAATTCAAAACCGGGCTTTCGGATATCAAGGCGGCCAAGTCGCAGTGACGCAAATAAGGCCCCGCAAACTATACGGATGGTCGTCTGATATTACGCACAGACAATCATGCGAAATCGAGCAAGCTATTTCTCTCGTTTTATCGCTGGCGTTAGTGAGTTCATGATAGTCGACGAGGTTGCCATTTCAGACGAGCAAGCTCTTTGACGTAATTTTTAACGACGTACTCGGGTGGGGGTTAGGAATAGGATTTTTAGGATATATATAAAATAATCATTTCTATATATTACGGAGAACAGAAAACTGATTATGCGATCATTTGGTTGGCAAATCACAAAAAAACAGTACTTTTAAACATGGGATGACTAACAACAAAAACCAAATGATATTCGAATATTTTTCTCCGATTGTTTCCCTCAGTATCTGAAACGACTCATTCTTTTTTATATTTTGCACCATATTTCAATAGAATGAAAAGACCAACAAAATTCAAAATCACTGTCCCTAGGGCAACACTTGGGTGAAAACAGAAAGCATTTGGGTACATCTCAAAATACGAAGACAAGAGAAACGTGACACAATTGTTAACGGTAAAATACACGTATATAATCGGGTTGTTAAAATATCCATCTACCGTATATAACGGAGCAGGACCAATCATGGGTGAATTCAAGTTATTAGTGATGAGGACATTGTAGGAAATCGTATTCTGTAGAACCAATAATATTCTTGCAAACCAGGACAAACTGATAAATGAATAAAGAACAACTACTATCCTCGAAACCAAATATATTAGCTTAGTTAAAAGCATCAACAGACAACCAGGATTAGAATGGATACAAACTAGCCCGATGCATATAGCTAGGAATGATATCATAGCAGATTCATACTGTATCGTTTCTGCTTCTAGGTCACAGAACGACATGGTGTATAAGTTTATTAATAACTGTGGAATATATCCAATTGCCAATCCAGGATTTACATGGAAAGGGATATCACATCTCTTTTCAAGAACATCTTTCAAATAAAAAAAATTCACTGTCCCGCCAACCAATAGTGATACGATAGATAGGATTAGGATGACAATTGAATGTTGTTGATAATAAATCCTTATAGTTAAAACATCGGTGACTATATCGATAGCGATAAGCAGGATTGTAAAACAATGCAACAGTCTCCTCAGATCCAATCTCACATTGGTCTTAGGCATCATTTTTGACGTTGTACGAAGACTCACTCTCTTTCGTAGCGGAAACCTTTGTCCAGGATTGTTTATTTAATCTACAACTTTAATTTTTATCAGATATATATGAGTAGATGGCTGAAAAGCGTGTTCGTATTTTAAAACTGTGTACTGGTGATAATAAATTCCAACTGCTGTAAACCATGGCTCAATACTTTACGTTTACTCAATACTTACTTCTGATCATAATACGCATTTGGACCTACGTTGAACGACTAAACTAAACACAAGCTACGCCTTCCTCACACAAGGCAATGAATGGGCAATGAACCAAATTTACGACATCCCATAAAAGGCTGGCAGTCCCCTTTCGGAAACCAAGCGTTAGTGACTGAAGGTAAACATAGATGACTGCGCAGTGCTTGGCAATTGTTCGCTAGTAGCTGATAAGATAGTGACGTCACAAATCATGCAATTAACAAACATTGAGTGCTTGTTACGTGTCGGGGCAAAGTTTGTGGTATAGATTTTAGCATTGACTGTTGGCGTTGAGAAGTCGGAGCAATGCTTTCATACAATCTGCAAGAATAGCGACATGTCAACTCAGCAGACAGGCTTGTCTAAACCAGGGGTCACCAAACTACGGCCCGCGGGCCGGATCCGGCCCGCGGCGTCCTTTTATCCGGCCCGCAATAACACGTAAAAATTGCTAAATATTTTTCCAAGGGAGATTTTTCCGTGCATCGTCTTCCTTGTTTAATTCGTAACATTGGCCAATCAGCAAGATGCAAAAACGTGACGTATTAATAGGTCTTTTCGCTTCCGCTCAGACACTTTTTTCACACTGATAGATTTTCAGTCGTGGTTGTAAACAATATTTCGTTTTTGCGACTTTAAATGCTATTCGTTAGTTTTTGGTTGTGATTCGGAAATTTAAGTATGAATCAAATAAGTCAATCATCATTTGCGTCCTTAGGAGTTGTAGTTTTAATAGTAGTAAGGAAAAATTAGTCTAGGAATAGCTGTGACATAATAGGCTAAAATTCTCTACCGGTACGCAACGTTTTCTGAGAAAAATGCACTTGTAAACTCGTAGCGCGTGCTTTCGACGAAACTGTTTACGTTTCTTGTGCTAAAATAAACATCGAATGTGCATTTTGCGCTAACAGTACTGTAATCCCTCGCGAACTGCTCCAATTTCACAAGTCACACTAACTCCGATATAAATAAAAACTGCGTCAGTGGATAGATCGAGTGAAAATAGAAAACAATACCAAGTTTATAAAAAACGGTCAAGAAATAACGGAAATATCGGAACTTTAGTACCACCCGACAGGCCAATTTTTTCCATGAGGATTGTATTACTTTTTGATAAGAATTGTAATAAATAGGAAAAAAGAACACATATCATTCACCAATATTTCGATGTGCGTCACATCTATGGAATATTGAGACTATTTCTGGATTTTATTCTGGCAACGGTCATTGACACCGCCGAAAGATCGTCACAAATAAACGCTGGAGTTTTTGTGCATGATAGTTTGACAGTGGTTCACTGTGAGTACTATTTCACGATGTTCTGATTGTGCAAACTTCATAAAAATTGGTAAGTATCAAATTAGGAAAGAAATTCACACGTACATATAAAAGTTATTGGTGTCCATAGACAATATCATTAATTTGCACTACATATAACTGGAGCGTAATTTTTAAAAGCGTCGAATGTTGGGAAATTTATGCGCTAATGAAAAAAATCAAATACCGGATAATAGATGTTTATTTTATCTAAATTATGTCAAAATTTCATGGAATTGTAAGCTACAGCAAGCAGTCCGTAGTCGTTTTTATGAGCGGGTTTTCTAACACTGCATAACGGTACTTAGCAGACATGATGCGTACATTTTTTGGCGCGAAAAAGCGGATTTTGAAAACTCCTAATTCACGACAGAAACGTTTTGATACCAGCTAAACTCAGGATAGTTGTTTAGATATTGAAATCTTTCATATTTGTTTTCCTAGGATGTTCCTGATTGCGATATAGATAGAATTTGAATCAAGTCTTCAGAAATGTAGAAGATATATTGTTGAATGGATTTCCCAACTTTTGTGAATTTATTATATTGCATTGACAAGAATATTCATCCGGCCCGTTTCAACACAGTTTGAGTCATACCCGGCCCGCGGTCAAAAAAGTTTGGTGACCCCTGGTCTAAACGCATGAGATCTAGACCAGAACTACCGAATGTCTATGTCCAGTGGAGGAATTCATTTTTTTTTCAACAGAAACCTCGATTCTCAAACCTTTCAGCTTGTCCTCTGGTCAGGGGTCCCAGTCTGGGTCTAATTCCAAAACAGTCAACTGGTTAAACATTTCAGATGTATGAACTGGATTGGTATTTTTGAGTCGCAAGTGAGTGAATCTAGTTCTCCTCTCGCACACGCTCAACGCAACGCTCAACAGGATATGGGTCAAGCCGACCGATTGAATATCTCCCTTCTTACCAAGGCCTGGTTTCTGATCTGACTAAGTCCTATGTTCTTTATTTCTTTGGAATACAAATACCTCCTATATCGTTTCTGACTTATACTTGCCCGTCCCCGAGTTATATCATAATAATTGTAGAATTTGTAAAAGTCACTTTCGGTTTATTGAAAGTAATTTATATGAATATTACATGATTACTAAAGGGTAAAACACATGCAAATAACAGAACTACCGGTAAGTAAAAGTTGAGTTTTCAAATGGGGATTTCTGAACACAAATCGCAGTTATCAAAATGTAGGCAATTGGGAATTATAAAAACATGACACGCGCAGAATGCAAGTGTAAAAATGAATAAAAAGAAACTCTTCTACGAAACCTTTATGATATCATAAAGGGGTTAAAACACGCATCACTACACCCAACTACAACTAAAGCGAATCGAAATACTGAAGGAAAGACAGTTCGGTCGTTACAATTAGGCTGCAAATTCGAAGTATTGGAACTATAGCAAGTAAACTTAGATGATATTCCATTTTGAATTCTGGCACAAAATCCAAGTAATACGAAATGAAACATCAGTGTCAAGCCGTGAGCGTCGGCACAAAATTTAAGGGGGTGTGTGCTCTGCCTGATCAAAGATGCAAAATTCAGGTAATTCAAGTCATAGTAACACATCTTTTGAATATTGGGAGAAAAGGGGGAGAATTTTGGTTGGATTGTCAAATTTTTAAAACACCATTTTTGGTTTTATTGAAAGTAAAATCTATTCTGGGTAAGGAGAATCGATGTCGAAACATATTCATGCGGGTAACCAGCAAGGAGACAGATAGCCAGTCAATTGTACCAGAAGTTTTGACTTTGATTCTGTAGCAGAATCGAATCTTACACTGCTATCCATGTGAGCATACCATGATCGAAATTGTGCCGACGCCCATGTGTTAGGACTATGTAATCTGTACAAATCAGCGTTTTAAAACTTAGATATTTCCTTATAATTATCAGCACTACCAGTACAACAAAGCCAACTCCTAAAGTCCTATTCGAAATTTCGGGAAAAGTTGACCGATTTCAAGTTACATCAGTGGAAGCATTTTACTGAATGCAATATCAGCCCCAAAACCAGCAAATATTTGACTTTGAAAATGACTTTTGGTATTGTAGGGCAAGTCAAGGTCGAAACTGAGCTCAACCTTGAAAGTGACCTCTAAAAGCAAGTCGAGGTCAAAGTTAGGTAAAGAAACACAATAGGGGACTAAATAGTCACAGACTACTTATTTCATAGAATAATAAACAATTAAAAACTGTACATATTAAATAGGTAAAAAGATAAGGTATATGGGGGTCTGGGGAGTAAAATTGCAAAAAAAAAAGAGTACTGTCTATAATAAAGGATGTCGGTATATATCGTATGATGTGATAGTATTTTAATATCAATGCTGTAAACAAGACTCTGAAAAAATATTTGTTTGGTTTGGTTTGGATTCACTAATGTACTTGGGACATCCTTGACCATAAAATGGTGATAGCTTTATTTAAGGAATAATTTTGAGTTACGTTTAGTTAATCCAAATAAATGAAGAGCTCCAATAAGGAGTATAACAGTTATTGGGAGAATCAGGCACTGAAATTGTGATATGAATATAAAAAGTTGAGAGCTACATTAAACGCCTTATATATTTGTAATTTTCTTAAACAAGCTAGTTTTGTTGAGTGTAAATCATCAGTAAATAGCCAACTTATTGTCATAGAATGATACCAGAACTTTTTTTGTAAAAAAAAAGTGAGTAGTAACTACAAAAATCAAATCTTACAGATTCGAAAACAAATGTAACGAAAACAAAAAAACTTCAGGCAAAAATTTGGTTAAAGTTAACATTTAAACATAATAAATAAGTGATATACATGCATAAGTTAGATCTTGTTAGTAAGAGTTATTTTGGTTAGTTATGGGGGGATTCCCGTGAAAAAAATCCATATGTAATGAAATTAACGATGACCAAACTGGATTGTAACATAAGGATATAGGAATTTTTTTATAAGATTTCAAATTTGAAAGGGAAATACCCATGTATACTCTGAATAATTTTGTGAATCATGATGAGGGATTTCAAATATCTCAGTGAAAAATTGGAGATAAAGGGGGGGAGGGGGGGGGTTAGTTTACAAACTTGTTAAGGAGATACAGTCAGTATCTTTACAGAAAAAATAAATAGTAACAATAACATATTATAATGAATACGACATCAATATTTAAAATCGTTTTTAACTTGGGAAATTGGGATTCCATGAAAATTTGGATCTTGTACTTGGAGCAAGTACATGTATTTTGCAATTTCAGATCATCAAGTAACTACTGAATTTGGAAAAACAAAACACAGGATATCTGTGACACGAGTCAATTAAATTTATTTTCTCAAACTCTTGGTTTTCGAATTTTTTCAGTAATGGAAGGTATATTAACCTGAAAAGCATTTGGAAATTGTCCTTTTTCATATCAAAAGTAGTGAAATAACTTTCTAATAACGCTTTCTAGAGCATGCAAAAAGTGGGGAGAGGGGGGAAACAGACAAACAAAACGAACAAGGATTGACAAAATGGTTTGTAACTTATTCAATTCGTGATAAAAGAAAAAAAATTTTTTGGGTGGTAAGTGGGGAGGAATTCACGAATCGAACAGGTAACAAAAATTGTCGCGTCAGGACATAGTCGATCATAAAAAATAAAATATGCTGAGTCACAATAAACAAATTGTTAAAAATTAATGGCGAGGAAACTTATACGATGGGGGAGTATCTAGTAACTGTGAAATTCATTTACTCATTCCTAAATTATGCATTACTCTTTCCTTATTAATGCTCAGTGGGAAACAAGTTTTTTTTTTAGAGTTTAAAGCACTTTATATATGTGTGATTTGAATTTAAAAGTTGAAAACGGGAAAAGGATGGTTCAGTATGTATTTTCAAACTTCCTGGGGTCGGGGGTTGAAGTTCAATTTTTGAAACGAAACAGAGTAAGGCTGCCGAATACTAAACTTCCATGGTAATTATTTCTCCATATGAAATCCGAATTTTATGTTTTATCAGAATTATAAAGACGTTTCAAATATCCAAATTTTAAAATGGTTTGCGACATAAAATCAAATAGAGGTAGAAGATGAAATCACCACAGAGAAACCACAGAGGCTGAAAACAATTCGATTTAAAACACACAAGTTGACATTCATATGGAACCTTCAAATTAAAACGAAAACCTTTACAACCTCAGCAAAACAGGGTGGGTGTAATATAAGCTGTGCAACAAATTGGTATATTTAATAGCAGGAATTATTTTGGGGGATTGATAAATTACACTGGAACAGTATTTGAAATATTTTAACCTTTTGAAATCGATTATTCAACTCTCTGTACTAAGAATAAATTTCAAATACGTCAGTGGATAATATTTCCGCTGATTTCCATTCCCATCTCGAGGAGAGAAAAGCTAACGATTTTAATGCTGCACAGCTTGTATTTCACTCAACTCTTGTTCAATCAAACCAGGCCACATACATTTTCAATCATTCTCAAATCATTTTTTTTTCTCAAAATTTAAAGTTTTGGTGCATAAAATACAATAAAAATATAAATATCATAACTCTTAACCTAAAATTCTTTGCGATTTTACGAAAACAATAACAAAGTAGGCAAGTATTTGGATTCAGAATTCCGTGGATAACACTTGTTGTCTGCTGAGGTGATGGTACTTATGATGTAATAGTTAGTGCAATAAAAGTGTTATTGTTACATCATACTTCAGTGCCATCTTCTTCATTGTTCATTCTTAGATTGTCTACAATGGGTATGCTTTTCTTTTTTCGTGATTTACCTACTTGAGAGCGAGGTTTGGTATTATTAGTCTGCCCCCTATTTAGAGGTTGCATTTCAACGTCGTTTACATTAACATTACGTTGGTAGTTTTTCTCATATTTTTGTTTCTTCACCGAAACAACGGTAGCGAGACCAGCAGAGTTCGAACGTTTGTGCTCTTTCTCGCTAGATAGTGGCCATGACTCACCAGACTCTTGATCACTGATGTCATCGTCGACACATTTTTTATCGTGATGTTGGACAACCACTATATGGCTCTGTTTGACTTTATCGCCTTTCTGTTTTCGTCGTCGTCGACGAACACAGCAAAGAGCGAAAAGACAACAAAATAATATTGGGAGAACAACAGATGAAACTCCAATCGCTATGAGAGTAGCAGGCGCTCCCTCTTCCTTTTCGACAACGATTCCTTTCATGTTGGTTCCATTGCGATAAGATTGGATATCGTCAGTGATGCTACGACGTTTGCGATGTAATGGAATAATCGCAGCTGCTCGACGACGTCTTGATAACATCATATCTTCTGGCCCAATTGCGTACATTACCTGACGGTTAAAAAGATTTTGTTCAGTAAATTCAAAAGGAAAAATAACCTTCATCGAACCGAAATCATATTGCCTCAAACAAACATATTTAACTAGAGCATGACAAGAAAAATAATTGAATGAGAGTAAAAATAACCACACATCATGTTAAAAAATCAATGAAATAAATGAATGTTCAATTAAATGCGGGAAACTAAAATAAAAACTTTATATATAGTTTGATATAAGTTAAAGTTAATAGAAATACACAAAAGCGCAAAATCCTAAAAGAACGATAAGTAGTCTCTGAGAAACTCTGTCTTAGACAAACAGAACAGATATAATAAATTCTAACATTCAACTTCCAATATGATTCTCACCTGTAGATACCACTGATGCCCTGCTTCTACTTTGTACAGAGCGTCCACTCTGATTAGGAACCCATCAACCCCTGGCAATTCAGCAAGTTTGGCATAATCTGGAACATCTGAGGCAAAATGTGCTCCGAATGAAACATCGTGGAAGTATTTGTCTTCTGCATCTCTGCTGCTTCGATCCTGTAAGAAAAGACAAAGAAGTTAGGATAAGATAAGATTTACGTTTCCATAAGATGACATAATTAAATAGAAATCTCGTCCGGTCACCAGTCCATGTCAAGAAACCGTAACCGGCCATCTAACGTCAGTGAGGAGTCCAGCAATCCTCTCCTTGATCCTTGCGAACTCACACAGGGTAATCAAAGGTACGCTGGCGAGTGTGTTCCTAACGCTTGGCACGATGCACCACATCACCAAGCTAAGTTCAAGTCAAAATTGTCTAGGAAACAGCTCCAATAAGCAGAAATTTCCGGGGTAACCTAGCACAGTAATTTCCTGACGGGGAAAAACTTCCAGTGCATAGAAGAGAACTAGCGGCTGTTCAACTGAACCAGGGACAAGTTAAGCCATGAAGTCGGGTGGAATCACTGAGCTAAGCTTTACTGGTGATTATTCAAACACAAGTTTGACTCTCTTCATTTATATCATTTGAGTCACTTCGAGTCTTTGATAAAGGATGACTCGAGTTGATGACCTAAATCGGAGATCTCAATGTTTTTTTTTACCTCGGAACACCTCCTTTCTATATCTTTCCGCGTAACCAACAAATTAGAAGGTAAAATTGATGGGTAGTTTTAAAAACAATTAGCCTATGGTAAAATTGAAAGATTTGTTGTGAACTTTACAATTAAAAAATTAGGCCAACCGTTAACGATATCAAACGGTTCAAGAAAACGCCATACTTTACAGACTTACACGAGGACTCTCCGCTTGTTTAGATAACAAGGCCTATTTGTCGCCAGTTGGGAGACAAATTAACAACCCAGAGTCGCCAAAGTATGACTGAGATCGCCATGGCGACCAATTTAGTCACAATTTCGAACCTTGTTCTGCAGAACACTCCAAAAAAGCACGCGGAACAGTTCGTGAATTGCTGACTTAAAGTCTCCACAAAAATGCAAAGAAGAAAGCAGGGAAAATACAAGCCTAAGTAAAAGAAATGAACATCCATAAAATAAGCTAAAAGAATTCACATTCCATACTTACAAGTAACAAGAACCTATGCTGCAAGCTTCTGCTCGGTTGAATACATCCATACTGTGGGCCCTGATGATAAACTGTGCCTTCTGGGTCATAAGTTGGAATGTAACCATCTCTCCCAGTACAGAGGTAAACTTTCTCCAATTGCAACTTGTATGCATTGTGTAGATCTTGGTCAGGGCTCCATAAGACTCGGCCGAATATTGTTTGACCTGAAAGTTAATGAATGAATCAATTAATTTTATTTTGGTCACTTTGGCATAAAAAAATGACATAACAACAAAAACATACGGACAAACAATATGTTGAGTCACTTGAAAAACAAGCATAACATTTTGGATTAGGATAAAAATGCACAAAAGAGAGTGCTCCAGAAGTATGTGCACCAATATGGACCGAACCAAACAAAGTTTGTTCGCCTATTTTATATCAAGGGACGAAAGCCTATAGGCAGGGAATATATTACTTGGCTAACACAGACAGTTCCCGAACTCGTAATAGAACTAAAATGAGGAAAATCGGAATAAAATTATGGTATAATCTGGTATGGGAGTAACGCATTAGTCCACCAAAATTATTTTATATCTGCAAATTATGTAGATTTGTTTCCCCACGGCTTCCCCAGTGAAATTTGTATTCAACATTATTTCTTTAAACTTTACCTTTTTTTTACTGGACGGAAAAAATAAACTTGACTATGACTTCCCTAATCTACAAAAATAAGCAGGAGTTGCCATATGATTGATTATAAACTTTCCTCTTACTGGGATAAGCATAAAAATATTTAAACAATCAAACCCACCTTTGGAGAATGATCCCTTGTAATCCAATTCACTTTCTTTAGCTTCTCTTGGATCCATCAGGAAAAGTTTTTCGTTATTTCCGAGGTGAAACTCTGTGTTCAGTGAATAAACAACAGGAACGGGGCGGCTGGTCTGCTGGAAAGTTATTGGAAGCTTGAACCTGCAAAAAAAATTTCTTTTTTACTTTAGCTTCTAATACGGCTCCGGACAAGGGAGAGTATTTTTGAAGGGCTGCAGGTTAAGATGTGGACCCTACTGGCGCCCTGGAAGGGCTGATAAAACATTCTTGATGAATGATAGTATAAAAGCGAGTAATGACCTACCGGTAATAGTTAAAGTGTGGAAGCAAACTATGCTTGTATGGCAGGTTAGAGTTCTCACAACACAATGCAAAATCAGAATGATTCATGTCAAAAAGATTCGTTTTTTTTCTGCTTATCAGTAGTGTAGTGAACCCTGTTCACAAAAAAAGCGCAAAAGCGACATATAAAAAAGGGTTCTCACTTCACAGGTGCATATGCGGTACATGATACTTCTTGACCAGGTTCAATAGGTTTCCATTTAGCAGTTGGAGTAACAGTGCAAGGTAGAAGTTGTATCTCGTACTCTCCGCTGTAATCCTTCTTACTGTATTTGCTTACTGCCCTCCAGTGTTGGTGAGGGGAATCGAATTTGTTCTCGTTCCAAACATTCTCCAGTTCAAATTGAACGTTAATTCCATCGGGAGCAATAACAGCTGATTTCTGTGACAACAACATTTAAATTAGTTGCTTGAAACTGAAAAGACTATTTAAAAAAAAAAATCACGTATACTCCTGATTGAAGAGTTTTTATTTTCAGGAGTGTTAGGTACATCAACTGAAATGCAAGATTTACTGACCTACTATATATTTTTATGTATCAGTATCCGATTAACCAATTTCGTACAAAAATTAAGGCATGTAATATGTAGTAAATCATAGTTTATCATATCAGTCAGTTGTTTATTTTTACACATGCCGAAAATACACATTGTAGATACAGAATAAGAAAAGATAAAAAAAATGCATTTCAATGCGAAGGGAGGCGGGAGGCGGAAAATAAGTTGAACATAAAAGACTAACAAAAGTCGGAAATAAAATACATTTAAGCGACATAATATCCGAGCTGTGGTATTTACCGTTACAATGGAAGCAGACTCCAGACCCGACAGGCGAGGTAACCATGGCAACCGCAGTTTATTAGCTGACAAACAAAAGGCAAGACGCTTTCCACTGTTAGCTATCCATGATAAGAACATTCATTCATTTTGCAAAATAAAGGAGCAAAAAACTTACCCTTCCTGGTAATGTATGGTGCTCAAGGACAAACAGTCCTCTAAACTGTACAATGGTTTCAAAAATGATTTCCAGTCTTCCATCATCTCGACTCTTCATTTTTGTAACTTGGAACTTTGCAGCTCGGTCGCCCTCTGTCTGTATTCCCTCTGTAGATGAAGATAAGAAAGAATAGAAAATATGAAGGGTGCGCTTTAAAATGTTAAAGATTTCTACACCTAAAAGTTAATAATTGCCTATAATCTGTAATTGCCAAACAATTGCCGGCTCAATTGTCGAAAACAGCCCATAAAACATATGAAGAGTATATATAAACAAAAACAGGTTGATTGGGTGGTTAAAAATATACTGTCACACATCACAAACCCTAGTATGCTTGTCAGCCCAGATCAGGGGATAGCGATAGTTAACGCACATCAGTAAGGGTTTCACATAGATGTACTTTTTTAAATGACGCTTATTACCAATTTCGACGTGAACAAGGCTCTGTGGCTACTATTTATGGAGAGGCCAGGATCGTTACAAATTCAGCATTGCCTACCCTATCTATTACACCCTGGGTGAGGTGGTTGTGACATCGAGGACTCTCGAATTCACTATTCTAGGCATTCACCGCAAAAATGACTTATTTTTACCTCCTTTCCACATAACACCATCATATAAGAACGAGAATTCCATCTCAGTCCTGTGTTCCAGAGCTCCCCATCCAGTTGGTGCAGTTACATACACATACGAGACATGCAGGGGCACTGTTACTGTGACAAGAGACTTAGGAGAATCCCGGACCTGAGGAATGGAAGAAAATTATTAATTTATGATTTGCCGGACTAAGAAATTTCCATCTATTCCAAAACAGTCACTTTTTCGGACCAGTCCGAAATGATTTGAATATACTCGCAAAAATGTATATTAAATATATAGTAAAATTGACGGACTTTCAACTGTTACCAGATTTATAACAGACTGAGCGGAATATAACGGAATAAAAGTCCAGATCAACTATAGGAAAGCTTTTCATATGCAAAGTTCTCAAAGGTGGAATCCATTGTTATTCAATACATAATCTGGACCAGTGAACTCATGCAGTAATACGATGTCCCACATCTTCCACCTACAGAACTACATTGCTGTTTGAGGAGCTTAAAAAATTTGTAGAAAGTAAACTAACATGATAATCAGGATCTACTTTTCCATTGCAATAATCAATAAGTTGGTTCATCTTGTAATGAGCTTTGAATTTCCAAACACAGCTCTTCAAGTTCAAGTATTTGTACAAGTCGATTGACTTTGGTTCTCGTACAGTTGGATCAAGTTGGAACGGTTTGTCAAATCCCGGTCCGAGAGATAACTTGGAGTAATCTGTTGGCTCAATGAAGCCGAGATCTGGAAACAGACAAACAGGTTCTTAAATAATATTATATAATATGGAATATATTATAAAGATCAATTAACCGGTGGAGTAAGAGAGAGAGAGATTTTTTTTTCGTCAACCAGATAAAAATGAGCATTGCAAGTTTGCAACAATAAAAAAATATACAGCAGCATTCACAAAGTTTTTCGGTATAGACTCGAGGTAGCGATACGACCATACGGTCATCAGAGTCAATATTCCTCCATATGTCTATTTGGAAACTCTCAATTCCCCTGTCGGTATATTTAAGAATATCCTTTGTTTTTCAATATTCAATGGATCTTTAGTCACTAATATGTAACTTGTACTCTGGTTTTCATACAGTTTGAAAATTTTATAATATTAGCATAAAATATATATTAAAATAATAACCCATACCGTAATTGCTAAATAATATTAATAAAATCACACCAAATACAATGTAATATTACTGTGTGTCCCGAAAACAACAAAACTGCTCTCTGGAGCGAAATTTTTTCTCACTTATGAAACGCTACAAATTAAAACTTACATTTTCCAATATCATGAAGGAGTTCTTCATCATTGATGACAAGGTCGGAAGGTTTGACATGAACAGTTTTCCCGTTGTACATCATGTTTGAGCACAAGTGCTGTTGCCTATCAATTGATCGCGAGAGAAGTAATTTGAGGTTATTGAATGGCATAGTTGATATGAGAGGTAGTCGGCCATCTTGGTGAGGAATTTCAACCTAAGAAAGTGAATAGCATTGATTGAAATAGACATATTGTATTTCTCGGTATACCATACACAATTTCAAGTTTAATTTCCGAGTCCACAATAAATCGGAAACAACAACAATTAAATCCAGCTTTTAATATCAAGGTTTTTGATACAAGGTGTTGAAGTTCTTTTATTATCAGTCATTTCGAAACCCTTACTTAAAAGAACAAAGCTACAAACAAAAAGGAAGCGCAGGACTATTTTAACATTCTTCGAATTTTTCTAGTTCAGCATTGCTTGCCACTATATTTTATTCACCCTGGTCGATGTGGCAGGCCTGTAGTTGGAACTCAAAATCTCTAATCTGGACCAAATTAGTCGACAAAAAACACAAAACGAACAGCAAGTTAATCAATCAGACGTGTAGTAGTAGAATTAGAAGTGAAAACTGAACTAACAAGGACTTACTGATATTTGCAAAGAATCAGGATGTTCTTCAGATGTCGGTGGAATGTAATCCAACTTTGCTATAAAACTTTGAGCCTGAAACAGAATTAAAAATAGTGTTCAGTACATTGCGAAATTGCTAGAATTGTTCACATAACTGTGTAATGGATACCACTTCTTCACCATACAACTCTGGATCTATCTATTCTCAATCCACACTTGAATAGGTAACCAGAAGTCGTGGTTCATTTGTAATTTTACCCAGGGAAAAATAAAACTGAAAAGAGTGTGTCGAACATTAGGCAGATGTATACTTCTATCATTTTGTAGCTGTGGATGTGAATGGATGTAGAATGATGATTGCAAATGTTTGTTTAAGAAATCATTGTAAATCTTTAGTTAATATAAAACTAAAAGTCTTAAACTAAACAGATCTGACTGTGAAAAAAATTGCTTCTTCACCACACAACTCTGGATCTATCTATTCTCAATCCGCACTTGAATTGGTAACCAGAAGTCGTGGTTCATTTGTAATTTTACCCAGGGAAAAATAAAACTGAAAAGAGTGTGTCGAACATTAGGCAGATGTCTACTTCTATCATTTTGTATCTGTGGATGTGAATGGATGTAGAATGATGATTGCAAATGTTTGTTTAAGAAATCATTGTAAATCTTTAGTTAATATAAAACTAAAAGTCTTAAACTAAACAGATCTGACTGTGAAAAAAATTGCTTGAAATAAGCAGTTACCTGGAATCCTCGCTCGGTCCCTGACATGATGGGATTGTGACAAAGCCCAGAATCTGTGCTGATAGTTGCCACATTACTGCGAAGTGGGGTTCCTGCTGTGCCAGTCTGACTGTCAACTGCTTGGGCAATGCATCGTACATGAAACCTAAAGATAATGTAAATATAGATGAAAGATGGCATCCAGAGCAACATTATTAGATTAGACAAGAGAAAAAGTTCTGATTTTAGACCATAACCAGTCCAGTGAGTAGGAAATTGGGTTATAAATGATACCTGTATACTGTTGCTAGGCTTTGGTAAACATAGTACCAATACCAAATAAAATTGTAAACAACTCAAGAGCATGAAAACAGTAGAGCATACAACATGGAAAAACTTAATCAAGAGGCATATAATTTTATTTGAATACCACTACGAACAAACTCTAATACCACATTTAAAATATGCTGGGAGTTTGCCTTGTATAAACAGCTAAGTGGTTGATGCACAGGTTCTGGACTTTTCCTCAAAACCATCAAAATTTTGGCAAAACAATGAGCCCATTTATGCCAAGAAAAATATTTAACTTCAGTTGAAAATTAGAAATTAATTGATTCATTTAGTGAAGAGGAAAATATTTTCGAGTACCAAAAGCAGCAGTTGTTTGGCTTGATAATGCTGGGCAAATATTCTACAATATGCTAACCCACCTTCTTGCAAAATAGATACTGTCCAACACTTTAGTGTTCACACTTGTGAAAGGAGTTTCATCCTGAACTTTTTCGAATGGTTGACTCCCCCCTCCTTCTATATTGGTTGGCATGGCAACCTGAAATAGAAGAGAAATCAATGTGAACTGCAATAAGGCTTCATTTAAAATAGCACAACTTCCGAATTTTTTTGTTTTTCTTATAATGAGTATGAAGTAACCATGTTAGCACTGCGATTCAAAGATTTAAAACCTAATGATTACTGGTTTTGGAGAGAGTGTGATTATTAAGTACGTAGTAATTAAGTAGCAGCTTGTCTTGGGCCTTGTTAGAGACACAAACACCTCACACAAATAGCCATGAAAACTGGATATTTGAAAAACTAATTCCTATATTTAACACCCTGTTTGCAGAGATGTCAAGCCCTCAAAGTTTCTGTAAGATTAAGCCGTCTCATCAACTTTCTTTTCTTCAAGATAAATATGGAAATATAGAATCCTATTCTCTTTAAACACTCACCTCCCAGCTGAATATAATAGCAGAAGCGTTAATTCCAGCTTCCTCACAATGGTTTCGTGTGTCGGCATATTCTGGGTAACGTGGGTCACATGGGGTCACACAAACAAGGGGGTAACCTGGAGATGGATTTGTTTCTAAACCTTCTTTGACATTATCGTAATTGAGGAGTGACACCTGAAATAAAAAAAATAGTTAAATAATTATGAGATCTAGTAAATTGTATGTAATTAAACAAAGCAAACAATTAATTTTGAAATATAAAATGACAATAATAATGCCTAAAATCTGTTTCACCTAAAATTGGGATTTTCCATGAACTTCCAAACACAAACTTTAGTAAGATACACGCCAGAAGTACACACAGCAGAAGATTATGACTGACTAAAATGATTGCGGCACATGTTGTTAACCAAAATGGAATAAGGAACCTAGCCACAATCTAATCCGTCATAGTAATATTGCCCATGGAAACACATCAATTCGCGTATTGCTTGCTACTCTTTAGTATTCAGGGTGTCCGAAAAATTTTGCTTGACTTTATAGTAATAACAATTGTAAATTTAAATAAGTTTCATTGTATGATAAATAGGAACTACAAGCACAATAAGGACTATAAATAAACAAAAAACAACAAGTTTTTAATTGTTATTACTATAGAATTGAGCAAAATTTTCTGGACACCCTGTATATAAATATTTATGAAGATATTTTTAGCATTTGCCAAACTGGGAAACATATCTATATACAAAATGAGAATTTTTTCTAATGCCTGAGTGGTAACGACACAATCGTTGAGTCAGAGTCTGTTATTTCAATCAATCGATTCAATTTTGTTTCAATTAACAAAGTCAATCTAAGGTCGTGAAGCAACACTTTGTACAATCCTATATAAAACACTTGCCACCACTCACCACTACAGGAGTTGTGGGTAGAATTAAACTTCCAGCAGCATCTTTATCAAGTACAGTAACAGTAGCTTGTGATATTGGTCCCAGCACTGCATTCACTGGATCATCAGGTCCCAACACCAGTAAAAAGGTTTCGTGCCATTCAGTGTCATCGTTGGGAAGAATATTAACCTGAAAAAGAAGGAGTAGAATTAAGTTTAAGTCTGCTTCTTCTATTTTTATTGAAAAGAGGAAAGTCAATAAATCATTCGACATAATCATTACAGAAAATACATATTAATTTCGGCGCTCCTGAAGTATGTGCACCAAGATGGCACACAACCTGAATCCTAACCTGGTACACATACTATGTTCAGGTTGTGCGCCATCTTGGTGCACATACTTCTGGAGGTTCTTTATTTCAGGGGAGAAGAAAGCTCAATCATATGGCGAACCTCTCGTTCATTTACCAGTCAATGTCAGGTATGGGATTAGTTATCCAGTTATTCGTTTCAGATGCAGATAAATGGGATAAGCTTTTCCATATTTAACATAGGAGAAGATGGCTTACGCATATGTTAAACCATGGCTTTTTGTCTGGCTACCAGTCAAGTTTCAAGTATAGGAGGATTGTGAATTTATTACTCAAGGACTTATATGGTGAAGGAAGTATTCAACAACCAGTGATTTTGTGGACCACACATTTATGATAAGTGCAGTTTCCATAATAAAAAATAAAAAAAGTTGCTGATCAAAAACTTACCCTGAAACTAACTTCTGTGTCACCAGGTTGGAATCTCAACATTCGACTCTTGGGTTCATAATCAGATCCAGAAGTAGCTGAACCATCTCTAGTGCTGCAACGAACCTAGAATAGCAAGAAAAATTCTCATGAAAGCTAAAAAACACAACTGAAATTGGTGATATATTATTGCACTTAATTTTAACCCCAACTGGGGATAGTTAAATAAAATGCAGGAACATGCATTGGCAAATCAGCTTTTAAGAATCCCATAATGAATGCTGCGGATGTCATATTCAGGATGTCATATCAGCAGGTCACCTCCTGATTTTCAGGAGTTTTGAGCAAAATTTTAAAAAGGTTCAGAATCGCAGTAAAATCTTACCTTGCTTATCTCATTTGCATCTCCAGTTCTTATAACTTTGACAACGAGCTGTCGACTTTCTTCGCCAAAGTCTGGTTCACGGATTGAGAACTCAGCTCTCTCAAACATGATTGTAGGAGCTAGAAGGAATAGTATTGAAATGTTATTAAAGACAAACTAATATTTGCTTTTTATATTTGTGGCCAATGATGGCTTATCAAGTATTGTCCTTATAATTGATTGTACTATTCTGTCTAGTGTTGATGTGTCGCGAATGTGTACCTCCCTAATTTGTTCTGTTGGCTCAAGTATCTATGTTGTGCATTATGCAGGTGTAATAAAGAAGTATAAGTCTATTGAGATAAAACCGAATTCTGGTAGCTTGGGTGCAAGACTGTAGAATTATTAACAATATTTAATTTCACTCTCAAACATTTGGTTTGAACTAGTGAAAATAGGTTGCTTTTTGGGGGATAACTTTAATTGTCATTATTTATTTTAAAACATTAAGAGTCTAAGAGAACTTTAAATTTTATGGGGTCAAAATTGGCATACTATGGTAAATTAAAATATTACCACAACACTAAATATGACCCAAAATTTCCTATTATTTCTTACAATTTTTTCATTGTTATATTCCATTTCTGTTCACTCGTACTTTATGATAATTCAATACCAACCAAAGGCACAAATCCCTTACTCAACCACACAAATACTTTAGCATAAGCATGTATAATCAAAATTATATATTCCAACACTACTAAAGTACTTATATTATTAGAATATGAGGCTTTGGCCAAATTCAATCAAAAATAGACAAAATGTGGCAACCCTCACCATCTTCATCATTTGTGATTGTAATTTCAACGACTTTCTTTTCTCCGACTGTCGCTCCGTACCATTTACTCCCGATAGCACCAGTAAGATGAACGCTGAACCTCTCACTTGATTCATATGAATTGTCATCCACTATAGTCACATTGCAGTAAGCGAGCTGAAAAATTGGAAATGACGGTTGATTGTACTCTTTATTTAAGTGATTGTCATAAGGCCTTAAAATCCAAATTTGACTTGCTGGGCAAATTCTTGTGGCAAATGATTATATGAATGAGAAGTGCTGGAATCTTTGCCATGATAAATGACAAAGCTGTTTCATCAGATTTCCTTTATCAGAATTTCAGGGAGGTACACTCGACATGCTCTTTTTTATAGTTCTATAAAAATATCTCTTTACCAGTTATTGACCTTTGGTCTTATGACTCGGGTCTCCTACAAACACATGTTTTATTTGCAAGTGCTTAAAACATATCTCTCAGTAGAGAGTAAAGCCAATATGACAGCTCAATCATAGGAGGGACCTTGACTTTTAGTTCAATTACCAATCAGGTTAACTACTGGAGTAGCCAGATATTTGTTCCAGTTACGTGGATTCAAAAATACCAACAAAGAGTAATTCATTGAAATGAATTGTATCGTAATTTCATATTAAAATCTCACCTTTTGTCCTGGTTTGAAAACAATTCTTGATGTCTCAGTGTTTGCTCGTTCATTAAAATCTTGTTCTACTTCTGCAGTGTTTCGTCTTGTATAGCAGATGACAGAAGATGAACTGCTTATGTCACCTTCCCGAGTTATTGCCAGTGAAACCAGCTTGTCTTTCTCTTTTACTTCGACAGATGTTTTCAAGAATTCCATTGTTGGGACTGAAATTTAAACAAAAGTTTTAGTAAAACAAGTTTGATAAATATTGGGATTTGAAAAAGAGAAAAGTGAAAATAATTTTAAAGAACTTGAGACTTTAAATCACAAATTTGTAAGTCCTAGAAACACATTACAAAATGACAGCAAAAAAATGTAACAAGATTAACAACCTAAAATGAAAAACATGATCAATTTGTGCTTTTTAAATAGTGAGAGGATTCCAAAGAATCTCAATACTTGCTCTCACAAACTGGATTGTCTAACTCTAAAGCACTAGAAACATGTTATGCTCGCCATTGCTCTGATCAATATACTGTTTGACTCAATTTTTCAATTTGAAGTTCAAACAAGCACAAATAATTAAAGCATATGTAAAGAAAGCTCAAGGATTCCATATTTTAGCTGGAATTAAGCTTATGCAATCAGTAATCAGTATTTTATTTTTTCACTATTATGTAAATACACTTTGCACAAACAAAATAAAAAACAAACGTAAAATGGTATTACAGGAGGAAAGGGGGCACGAAAAAGGGCGTTTCCAGTGCTGGAGTCACTAGAAAAGAACATTAATTTTGCTCCAGACATGAATAAATAAAACTTACTGTCATCCAGGGTGTCATTAATAGTCACAACAGCATGATGTGGAGTCACAAGTTTAGCTCGGAGAACAGAACTCAAATAAACTTCAAATGTCTCATTTCCCTCCACTGATGGTGCCTGCGAGTCATCTAAGATCATCATTGAGCAGACCTGAATTATATTAAAAAAAAATTAAATATCATTCAATGTAGACAAATGACTGAAAAAAATATGCAAATTTTATACCAAAAAATGGGTTCCCGTACATTTGAACCCACAACAATTGCACCTGCATATATTGCACCTATGGAATATTTTTATTCGTTTTGCGGATATTCGAACCCATACTAACCCTAACCCATGGGTCTATGGCCCGCATACAGATTGAACCCGCGGATAATATACACATGGGTTCAAATGTATGTGGGTTCAAATGTACGGTCACCTTAAAAGTGATGTCTTTCATTTTGACTTCTATAACACGGAACAAGACAAAAAAGCATAAACTGCATACTAAAGGCAGAGTAACTTGGAAGGCCAGGCCACTAAAATGCAGTTAAAGATGTACAAGAAAAACTTGGAATATGGACTCTTGAAGTTTAAAACAAGTTATATTCTGGGTAAGACATAAGAAGTCAGCAATATATCGACACTTTGAAAACAAAATACCTGTTTACATTCTATGTGCATGTCTAGAGCCTTGTTTAAAGCTTAATTGCAAATTATGTCATAAAAAGTAAAAAGTCTGTTTATTTTTAATTGAACAAATAATTAGCCAGATTCACATATTTATCCAGAGGGAGAGAAATGACAATAATACGGCTTAATCGAATGCTGAACCACGGCCTCTCGTCCATTCACTAGTCCATGTCGGGTATGGGTATTTGAACCTGCAAACCCATGCAGGTATTAAGAGGTGTGGTTGCGAGCGTATTCCTAACTCTCAGCGCGATCAGCCACATCGCTAAGCCGGAATCCGTTGAATATGAGCAAAACTTGACTTAACACCGACTGTCTCATCGAAAAATTATCATACCTTTGTAGTTTCACCAGTCCTGAATGTAACCTTGTTAGAACTCTGAACAAAATCTTCTCCGGGAACAGCTGACACTGGATCCATAGCACGGGTAGCGCACCAAACATCTGTGGATTGACTCAAATCAGATCCAGTTCGAACAACCTGAATTGAGTGTAACATATTGAGTAAAATTCATTTCATATAGCAAACCACGAACTGATGTCGTGTACAAGTACAAATAACTACCAGTAACTATTTGTTTCAGATGAATGAACAAAAAAAAATAGATGGTTGTAAAGATTCTGATGCTGCACAAAACACAGTAGACTTCTACTTTACTGTTGATACCTATCTAAAGCCTTTTTCATATTGTAGGTCCAAAACACACATCATGGAAATAAGTTTTCTTACTCGATCCTCAAGTAAAGTACCCTATAACTACTTTTTGTAAGACCTGACACAGCACCAGATATCAAGCCTAAAAGAGCGCTACCATATGTGCACAAGAAGCCCACGTTTTCATGTAAAATCGGTAGCCTATTTATGTAGTAAATAAACTTTATGTTTGTTGCAGCAAAATATACTCCCGCCCAATAATATTTATATTAATACTTACAGTGACATCAACAGTTCCTTGGTTTTCAGAAAATTCATAATGATTGTTGGAGAAAAAGACAGAGGCTGCATCGTTCGGCCCGGCAATTGTAATTTCGGCCTGTAAATAGGTGATGAGAAGGTAATGATCAAGGGCTGTTAGTGGTTAATGCATTCAACACTTAGGTTGGAACTGCGGTTTGAATACGGGAATATTGAAACTTGTTTCTACAATCTATTCCAATTTATTCTGAAATTTGGTGAGATATATTTCCGATTAAAGTCATTCATCTTTCTATGTACCCATAGCTCTTTGACTATTCATCGATTCACTAATCCATGGGCAGGGATAAAAGCCAAAATTATAAGATTTAAAAATATTTTTTAATTCAATAGCAAAGTCGTCCTTACAATTTCATAAATATTGATGTATTCAGTCATCTGCATAAACAACGTTATCTTTTGATGACTAGAGGCACAATCTACATAATCTTATACATCTTTCTGTAAATAATATCTGTACAAAATATACCTTGGCCATTTCTCCGACTTGAGCACCAGAAGAAGGATCAGTTAGTTTGACAGTGAATTGTTCATCTTCTTCATAAATGCTGTCATCAATCAGTTTCACATCGCAGGTTGCTGTACTGACGCCTGTAAGAGAGATAATGAGAAAGCGCATTATAAGGCAATATTCTATCAAAAGTATCAATATTATAGAAAAAAGGGAATCGATTCAGAATCTCAGGTAAAGTGTGAACTGAACTTGAACTATAAACTGAAAACAAACACAAAATATTATACCTTGCTACCAAAACAGAGCATTCAAATGATTTTCAACGAAAGACAGAGAAGATATCAATTTTCATCAAGGCTCCGGGTAATAACACTAGTTCTCACTCTCAGCCCAAAGAACGATTTAGGGCATGGAGCATGACTAATGAAATTACCACTTTCATAAAATCTCTCTAAAAAATAATTTCTGCACTAAAATAGATGACAGCTTTAATTTTTTTAGGGTGTCTTGGCAAATAACAATACAGAAAGCTTTAGAGCTTATAGAAAATTGTGCAGTTTACCATGCTCAGCTCTGAAATTTCAAGACATCGAGCTCAAAATTGTTCAAAATGCATAATATCTTACCGGGTTCAAAAACAACAACACTATGTTCATCATTTCGATCTCTGCTTTTATAATCTGATCCAGATCCGACATGCCCGGATGCACTTGACCCTGTTGCTGTACCGGATTGTGTGTGGCAGATCACAGTTACCTTCTTGTTGATGTCACCTGGAATGGAATCAACCTCAATGAAAATTTTTGCTGAGGAACAAGATATTACGATAAGATTTTTAATATTTATCTCAGGCAAAGCCCAGAGGTTAGCCAAACCATCCTATGTACCTAGTTAGGGTTAGGCCATAATTTTATTCTGATTTTCCTTATTTTAGTTCTGTTACTAGTTCGGGGACTGTTTGTGTTAGCCAAGTGAACATAGCCCCTGTCCATAGGTTTCAGTCCCTTTACACAACTTGATGTAAATTGAGCAAACAAAATTAGTTACCTCCATATTGGTACATATACTTCTGGAGTGTCGATTAGTTACCTCCATATTGGTACATATACTTCTGGAGTGTCGATCTTTTCATAAAGAAAAAAGTTAGAGCAAGCATAATCCTAATAACAGGAATTCCTACCTGTTCTTCTGATGGTCAGAAAGAAAGTGTCATCATTCTCTTGAACAACTTTCTCAGATTCATCAAACTGTAATGTTGGTTTGTCTTCAGAATCGTCAATTGTAACGGTTGTTTCGGTGATTGACCCTGAAAGAGACAAAAATTATAAGAAATGTCTGGTTTGGCAAAGTCTCTTTGTGTCAGTGTCTCCTTGGTTGAAGCTTTGTTAGGAGCTGGGATGAAAAACACAACTTATAGCTATTTATTTTGAAAAGGGTTGGATTGAAGTCCCTTAATCCCAGACCGTAAACATATAAACAGTTATATGAACTAATTTATATGCCGGTGTGAGGCATCGTGCTAAGCGTTAGGAATACGCTCGCTATCGCACTAATGATTACTCTGCATGGGTTCGCAGGGTCGAATTCCATGCGGAGATAGTTATGTGTGAGAAAATGCTAGACTCGTCACCGCGGTAAGGTGGTTCACATAACCACTGGTTGGTTGGGCTTCTTCAACCATCAAGTCCATGCTTCTGATAACAAATAACTGGCTAACTAATCCTGTACTCGACATGGAAAGAGGGTCCGAGGGACTACCAGTTGAGAGTCCGTGGTTCTCTATATGATTAAATCGTCTCATCGACTTTCCTCTCCCCTGGATAAATATGTAAATCCTATTCTGTCCTATGTTTTGTGAAACCTACCTAGCAGTGCATAGTTGGGCTGAGCAAGTAGCACAGTGAACTGTTCGGTTCCTTCATAAACTGAATCATCTTTGATCTCAATCGTGCAAACTTTCTCATCCTCATGCTCATCAAATTGAACCTGGAATGGAAAAAACACAAATTACAAAATTTAAGCAGATATAAAACGATAATATGAAAATATACGTACCCGCAAACATTTCTTACTGGTAACCTAACAAAGGGCAAAGTTAGCCATATGTTTTAGCCAGTTTTTTTAGTCTTGGTTATCTCTATTTATGAACCCAGGGCAGAGACCCTCTCATCTCACAACCTTGTCATATGAGTAAGCAAAATTAAACTTAATATTAGAAGGTGCTGAACTAGTTTTAGTTCAAACAGTAGCACCTAAGTATGAATGAAAGATAACGTCTCATAAAATCTTATTTCCAAAGATTCCGAGTTGTTTTTTGTCAGACATCAACAGGGATGATATGAACGAGAATGAAAATGATAAATCTTGAGAATAAAACTTATCATTAGGTCAGCCTCCATTTTGAATTTAAAATTAGATTTGAATAACTTCATGTTATTATGTCATCGATTAGGTTTCTGCAAGTTCTTAGTTTTGCGGCAGTGGATCCTTATCCGTATAATGCAAGAATGCTGTATCAAGAATGGAGACAACTATTTTAATTCAAGAGTTTTGCTGCACACTCTGGAAAGATATTTGTTAATTGGGAAAGATAATCAATCAATCTACTGACCTGTCCTGCATGTTCCACATAGTCCAGTTGTCCAGGGGTGTTAGATGTGACAGAGGTAGCTGTTCCTGGTTCAGTGCGGCAAAGTACGATGGCATAATTCAAGTTGCCATGTCTCCTTACTACAATATCTATGTGACCGGCTCCTTCTTTTACCTGTAAAAATATGGAATAGGTCACTCATTCATCCTGAAATATGGTCTAATCATAGTAGCTCCCTCTGTATTTGCGGCTGTTTTTGCAACTTCTTATTCATAGAGAGGTCAAGAAAATGCCCATAAAAATGTTTAAGGATACAATTTACATATTTATCCCGAGGGAGAGGAAAGGGATAAGACGGCTCAGTCGTATGGTCAACCACGGCCTCTCGTCAGATTACCATCCCATGTCGGGTATGAGATTAGTTATTTATTTGTTTTTTTGAAAGCATAGACTTGATGATGGAGGAAGCCGTAATCGACCAGTTACGTGAACCACCCTACGGCGGCGAGGAGTCCAGCAATTCCCTCGCACATAACTATCCCCGCTTGGAATTTGAACCTGCGAACCCACACACGAGTAATCAGAGGTGCGGCGGCGAGCGTATTCCTAACGCTTAGCACGATGAGCCACACCGCAGCGCATCCAGAAACAACGAGACTTCAATTTTAGTTACTGGTTCATGGCGAGAACAATTAACCAGTTATTTTATTTCAAATATATAAAGTTAGATAGTGAATAGGCCAATTCAATAAACACACAATTAAGTATAGAACCTGTGTCCAAGGATTCAAATCAATCGGCCACACAAATAATTTTACCAAAACAACCGTTTCCGGTTCTCTTACCATATAAGTTGGTTTATCAAGAGTGAACACGCTCCATCTTATATGGAAGATGTTTCCAGTGACTACGTTTGGCATGGAATCTCTGACGTTGAACATGAAAGAATCACGAGTTTGGTCCATTGAAGTGTCAGAAAGTATGTATCGAATAATACCCATATTTACATCCTCTGTAATAGGAAAAAATATAATATAATTAGGATAAATATATACATATATAGGGTGTATATGAAGTCTTGAAATTTTTTAAAATTGCAAAGGAAGGTTATCGATACCATATATTGTTTTGGCCCTCACAGATGTATTTAATGAAGTAAAAATACTTAAACAATTACTGATTAAAAACAACAAACCTGGTTGAGAAATAATGAGAACTGACTCATATCAAAATTGTAAAGGGACTCTATGGACACTCATATTTGTGGTGAAGGATGGCCATTAAAATGGCATAATCATATCGAGAATCATGACATCATATGCAGCATACATGGAAACTTTTACAGGTATGTTCATTTTATCATGAATCCAACAACATATAGGCTTTTACTTTTCAAGGCACAAAACTTTATTAATTGAAATATGATCCAAGGATTGTCACGTTCACTCACTCAAAAAGAAGATTCATCATTGAGCAAAGTTAAGGGTGACAAGAAAGTGGGAAGAACTTACTGAAATTAATGAGAATTGCAGTGTAGAGTGTGTGGTAGTAAATATCGATTGACATTAGATATAAAACAGTTCTCATACAGGATGTGATAGCTTGGGTAGGTAATTCCAAATCGGAAAGATTATAGTTCTTTCAAATAATAGTATATTCTTACATAATGTTGGATATCAGTGGCTCCTTGTATGGGGCCTTTAGAGAGAAAGGCGTAAATAAGCATTGTATAAGACAGGCGTGTGCAACCTTTAATAAAAGAGGGCCAGATACAATTAACCGGGTGAAACCACAGACACACTTTATTCAACATAGGCTTTCTAGTTTTGATGTCATAGATACAAATTGGACACAGCTGTAGGTTTCGCAATGCAAAGGGATTGATTGGAATTACTGGCACATACTAAATTGAACTAAATTAAAAACTCGTTTGAAGGTTCTCTGCCGGCTGCAGGTTTCACACCTCTGGTATAAGAACTTCAATCAGGATAACATCTAACTTACTCTGACTGAATGCCTTCAAAGGATGTCCTGGTTGAAGATTGGATTCAATGTGTCCATGCCTTGGATCAGAAGTGATTGTGTACGTTATCATATCTGCTGATGTATCTGGATCTTCAGTCAGAAGTTGACGCTTCGATATGACCCCCATTGCCTGTGTGTGAAAAAATTTTATTTTAATTTTTGTGTTTCGGTAAATTATACATTTCACAGAAAGAAATTGAGGTATTATAGTCTAAATCTGTCATGTCCCACAATATCTTGTGTTCAACTTGTTTCTATTTTACAGTTCCTATAAGTTACTACAATATATTTCACTTTTAACTTATTATCTGTAAGGGTAGCACATGAGAAAAAAGGGGTGCTCCCGAAGTATGCGAACCAAGATGGCGGACATCGGAACGTAACATGGGTAACAGGTTAGGGTTAGGCGATAATTTTTTTCCAATTTTCCTTATTTTAGTCCTATTGTCAGTTCGAAGACTAGCCAAGAGCCTCCCGTAGTATTTATACCTAAAATTATGGCCTAACCCTAACCTAGTACACATATTACATTCCGATGTCCGCCATCTTGGTTCGCATACTTCGGGAGCCCCAAAAAAGGTTACATAGTGTCCCCTTAAGTGCCAGCCAATTCACCTACGTGCCTCCTGATGAATATATCGCTATTTACGTTTTCGTGTCGTCTGTCTGCGTGGACCAAAGTTAAATGTTCAACAATAATTGGCAAAGGAAATATACTCAAACAATTATATAATTGGAGTCCAAATAAAATTATATTATTATATATTAATATATTGAATGTTTGATGATACATATTCGGCTCCTGATGTTCCAGTGTCAATTACTCTTAGGAATTTGTTCAGTGAGTTTATTACCTTTCTCTTGTTAATGATTAAGAAGAACAAACATTATACAAAATAGTATACAAATGCAGAAGTAATAATATTCCTATACAGAACCCCAGTCCTTTTAAGAAAATTCTTTCTCAAAGTCCATAAAAAATAACTTTAATACTAAAATTTGGTAATACAATGACAGTATGGATATGTGAACTCGCAACCAAAAAGCTCAGCATTCATTTAATATAGTTTTAGCACACTCATGAAATACCACACACATGATAGCAAGTCTTAGATGTCTGGATAAAGTCAAAGACAAATTCCATCTGCCATTCCATTGGCAGAATGCTCATTGATTATATATGAAGGCAGGCAGTGATATAATGGCAAATAGAAGATGACAAATGGGACTCGGTTTTCGAAATCTTTCACAAAACTAAAATTCTTGAGGCACACTGTGAATGGCTAAGGACTTGAAGATTAGGCATAATTCAAACTGTAACACATTAAAATTTCTTTACTTTCTTGAATCAAAAATTTAATTTTTGGCGATAGTCGGGAAACGTATTTCTGTAAAAGTATTTTGTTTTATGTTTATAGCAGCAAGGGAGCAAATTTTTCTATTAAGCGGAATAAGATTTGACTGGTCAGATTTGTACATTTGCTTCCTAAATTTGTTTGATTTTGACATTGCTATCCTTAGCTGAATTTTATGATTGATATGTGAAATTGATTGTTGACTCAAACATACTGACCTGCCTCCATGCCAGGGGTAGTTCAAAAGAAAACTAAAATATAACATTTATGTTAGGATAAGTAGTTTCGGACCTCCAGAAGTATGTGCACCAAGATGGCGCACAACCTGACAACCTGGACACAGTATGTGTAACAGGTTAGGGTTCAGGTTGTGCGCCATCTTGGTGGACATACTTCGGAAGCGCTGTAGTCTCGACAAATGCTTTGATGCTGATAATTATGAAGAAATGGAGAGCTATTATCATTAAATATGTAATATTTAAACAGGTAGGGCATTTTTAATAATCTCTTAGCCAAATCACTGGGACTACTAAAATCAGGATTTACATATTTATCCCAAGGGTAAGTTGATAGGACGACTTAATTATATGCCGACCACAGCCTCGTATCTGATTACCAGTCCATGTCAGGTAAGAGATTAGTCAGTTATTTGTTTTCGGATGCATGGACTTGATAGTGGAGTACCGACCGACCAGCGGTTACGTGAACTACCAAAATGGACTTAAAGTATTTAAAACTATAATGCACACCAGACACTTCTTGGGATTGCAGTAAGAAAGGTTTGTTTCTAATACTACTTTATAACCATATGTGAAAAAAACTTCAAATACCGGTAACTTCAAATAGAGAATTGCACTGCCAGAATGACTAGGGCAGACCGCAAACCCTTAATGCTAACTACTTAGCAAGGGCGTTGGTCCAATGCCTAGTTAAAGTATCAGATATATAATAGCTACAGCTGTGCAACATTACGAAATGCAAGCTAAGCATAATTATCACCCGGCACTTGAAATTTTTATTTGAAAATCCATTAAGCTAAGTAATTATACTTGAATTATCTTACTGTTGCCAGAGATAAATGTAAGATTAATTAGCGTCGAATCTATTTTTCAAGTGGGAAATAAATTCCTAATGATAACACAAGGGCGGATGTGTGATAATCTGGCAACCAGAGAAAATTAAACGGTTTAATCTACACCTAGCTAGTTTTTAGTCAAGCCACATTAACCGCAGAAATAACACTCTTGCATATTTGAAGTGTTTAACGAATGATAAAGGATTGGGCGGCAAAGAAAAATCTCTAAACCCTAATTCATGACCTTGAACCCAGATCATGACCTTGTAAATCTGAGAGGGATAACTGAATGACTATTCTCATGCCAGACATGGACTGGTAATCAAATATTAGAATCAGTAGTCAGTAGTTTATATTTTCATCATACTAAAGTACACTTTATGCTTAAAAAATGCAAATAGAAGTAAAATGGTACTTAAGGGTGAAAGGAGATGCAAGAAACCTGGTTATCGAGCAGCGACACTCAAGATTAAATCTAACAATAATGGCATAAATCAAACAATGATTATTAAAAGAAGTTTGTACGTCAAAGTACGTCAAGGTGACCATCAATAGACCACATTGTTCACCATAAGAATACCTACACTAATTTATATACAGATTGAAAATTTGTGAGCATGGCCGTTGTAATGTTGAGTTATAGGATTTTATGATAGATTATGCATTGCATATTTCTCCAGAGTGAGAGGAAAACTGATAAGAGGGTTAAACCGTGTGGCAAAATAGCCAACCATTTTTCCTTCCATGGACGTATGGAAATCGAAACAGGATATCTGTATATTTTGACACAATAATACTGTTTTACACCAACAAAAGAGGTTCCTAAATAACCAATTAATCAGCTTTCCCCTTCCCCTACAATATAAATAAAAATACTATTACACTGTAAATCAGTAATGTAAATGTGTGACTCATACCAGAAAATTTCATAAAAACTATGATTAGTCCTTCTTAACCCCACTGATGCTCGATCACAGATAAATGATCAGCAAATATCAAGGTGGATGAATGTATAACTGTCAAGTGAAGTAACCCAACCCTGGGACATTTTATCTTATCTACCTGACATGAAACTTAGGACAACTTTTCCGGTTTTTAAACTTTATCAGAAATCAGTTTTGTCACTAATCCATTAAGCTGTCATTTTGTCATGCGTGAAATTTTAAAAAACCACAAATATTTTGAAAGTGTTCTGCCTGAGGTCAAAGAGCACACAGTTTAAACTTTCTATAACTTTCTGATGAACGCACATGTGAGCTGGATGATTTTACATATTTATCCCAAGGGAAGAAAGACGATAAGACGGCTTAATCATGTGGCGGACCGTGGTCTGTTTACCAGTCCATATCGGTTATGGGATTATTTAACCAGGTATTTGTTTCAGATGCATGGACTTGATGGAGGAGAAAGTCGTAGCTGACCAATGGGTACGTGAACTACCCAAAGGTAGTGAGATGTCCAGCAGCACTGCAGCACATAATTATTAATCTCGTGAATCAGTCTGCAAACTCAGGCAGAGTGATCAACGGCATGCAAAATATTCAACCGTAGCAATATCCATATCAGTATGGTTTGGTATTCTAGAATCCAGCCATTTAGTTTATCTATATTTAACTAAAACATCGCTATGTGACCCTTATAATTATAAAAACTGAGATACTGCACTTGTCTATAAAACTCATATAAAAATGTATGATGCAGTACAAACTCAGCCCAAAGATAACAGGCTGTGTGACATTTTATCTTTATTTACCTTATTATCCATATATTCAAGATGATGCAGGCCTTTGTTGGTGACAAGCCTTGGGGTTCCATCGTCTACTGGAAGTATAGTGATGTCAAAGAACTGAAATAAAATTACGAAACGTTTAAAGATAGACAGACAAAGAAGCATCATATGGCAAACCAGGGCTCCTGGTATGGTTAGTCGGGCATGATTTCGGCTAACAAATTATCTGTTTCAGATGCATGAACTTGACATGGCATTCAACCATTTCAACTACAGAAAAATGTAATTGATATAAAACAGAGAGCATAAATGTTTTTACGTAAGGAGGCTCAATTTTACTGTATGTATATGAAAAAAGAAATAAGTCATGGCTTAGGAAACACAAAATGCTGAATTTTTATGCAATTGCTTAAATACCTGATGTGAGCTTGTTGTAACTTGCGCTCCTTCTTCTGTTATTATGAATTCCTTGTTGGTTCCGTCTTCAACAGTGAATGTAAATCTGCAATTAGTTGAAAGATTATTTTTTTTTTGGTATATTTTTCTCGAATAGGATTTAAACCAATTTAGACATTTATATCGGAAATAGGAAAGTCAATTAGAATCCCAGAGTTGCAACTCTACCAGAAGCACTCTTTAACTTAATAGTTAATGAATAGAGCTTTGGCAATTTAGCATATGGTAGGATTTACTCATTTATTCCAGGTAAGAGGAAAGCCGATAAGACGGCTTGATCATATGGCGAACCAAGGCCATGCCCAGTTACCAGTCTATGTCGGGTATGGGATTAGTTAGCCAGTTATTTGTTTTCAGATGCGTGGACTTGAACTTATATTTAAAAACATGGAAATTTCTCCTAGTTAAAATTCTACCAACCTATCTTCAACAGAATTGCTTCCATCATGGTTATAACTGATTCGACTCTGATAAATATCTTCCATGCTGAATCCAGTCACAGGAATGTAACGATCTCCCCGGCTGTTTGTGCGTTCAATGTTCCCATGCACAGGAGATTGAAGAATTGTGAAGGTGACCAAGGCATCCTGTAATAGAAATTGTAAAGTATAACACAACATTTTTCCGACGTTTTTATACGCCTGGGCAAGCAAGCAATGAACTACTATCCTTGGGCCGGAATCTTTCTGATTCGGTATCGGGATTAGGCAACCAAATTTTGTTTTTATAATCGTGCGACATGCGCTATGTCACAAACCGTGGCTTTTATTAAAAAACTTTAGAATCTAACCAGACATTAGATTAGATTGAGATTTTGTCGTTTTATATCCGATTTAGCAGAAATCTTTACCGTTGAAATTCCATATTTTTATATATATCTTTATATTTAATGTACAAAGAGGGCGAATTTTTTCAGAATATAAATTTTAATTCACCACAAATAGCAGCATAGCTTGGGATTAATATCACATCTGGCGATATAAGAGATGTTGTTTCGTAAAATCCAGATAGAATCACCCTATAAGATATTAATGGAAGGTATACTCATGATATATTGAAAAAATTTAACACATACTACGGTTTGGTGTCCGCCGTCTTCGTCCACATACTTCGGGGGTACCAAATAAATTGCTAACGTTAGTTATATTTAAGAAATAATGATTCGCTTCTGTGTATGCGCTTATTTTCATGTTTATATCACAGAAAGAAGAAAGCGAATAAGATGGTTCAGTTACAAACAAGGAAACTCGACCTCTCGTCCAGTCAAATCCATCGGTTATAGATATATTTAACCAGTTAGTCGTGAACTTGGATGACTTTTCTCTGAGCGAACCGTTCCAACAATGGAGAAGAAAACTGATCGCACTTAAAACTGATATTTTATTTTTGAATGCCAGGGAATATACTTGGTAAAAACAATTATTGTATATTTTCAGAATGATAAAAGTTCATGAAAAAAGTATAAGGCTCATTGCGCATGCCAAATTTCGATCATATTTTGAGCAAAATCATCGCACAAAAAAAATTTATTCCCAGTTCAAAACTGGCAACGGTGAAAACGGAAACCATGGTTATCCTTGCTCAAACAAAATCAGTTTGCATTGGATTATATTTAGAAGAGTATTGTGTGTATTGGACGCGTTTTTATTTGGAGAATAAAATTTACAAAATACAGAGGAGTTCTATTTCATTGCATTTTAAGAGTTTAGCTTTGAAATTCAATCCCTCTGACCGAGATATACAAATAGGGAACGGATATCGGAATTTATAATTTTCAAGTAACAAGCTATTACTTTGTTTATTTTGTGATTTGGATGTGAATGCCGATTCTTTTTGATGTTTTGCACTTTCGATAAAAGTAAGGATCGGTGCACGTATTTACTGATATGTAGGGAGCTAATATAAATCGGAATTGACAAAATCTTTCCGAATTCATCTTTCTCTTATTTGTTAGATGGTTTGCGTAGAGTTTTTAAACGTCAAACGTCTAGATACCTCCAAGCTTTACGCTGTGATACTTTCCAAAATATACAATTACTGTTGGGCAACACAAAATTTACAAGAAATAAAATTAGTAAATTCAAGGTTTATACTTTATATAGAAAAAAGCAAGCGACTCAAGAAGATTTTCAGGCGACCCAGTTTTGAGTCGCGACCCATCGGTTGGAGAACACTGCTCTAGACTAGGACGCACATAATTTTAGGGCTATTCCTGGTATTTATTACTTGCAGTTGCAACCCATCGAAATTATCAATTTGGTTGGCTTCTTTATCTGTATATCCTAGGCGGATTTATTGTCAGGTCATGCGATGGATTCAGAATTACGTATATTATTATTATTATATTAATGATATCCAGAAATATAAACTTTAAAGATTTAAAATTTGGAAATAAAAGTATTTTAATATTGGGGTCCAAAAGTTTTAAACAATGTTTTTCTTGTCTTAAGGTCAGGCTTAACGATTCATCCTCTACGATTTAAAATAAATCTCCTAAAATCCATTTAAGATCTATTCAGGTTTCGTCAACCATAGAGGAAGAAAGCAGCAATCCCAAGAACGCTTAGTGAGACTAAATCTTAGTGAGTGAGTGAAGGGCCGTGAAATATATTCGGGAGGGGGATTTCCCCAGATAAAACAGAATTGTTTAAAAATAATCCTGAGAATGCTTAACGAGATTGTACCCGATTGTGTATCAAAGTCTGTGGAAGGGGGCTTCCCCGGACCAGACAGACATCTTTTCTTTAAATGTTGAAGTATTTAGTAGAATAAAACACACCCTGGGTGCGCTTGGGTTTACCCGGGAAATGACATGAAATTATTCTAAAACTTCGATTGGTTGTTGAAGGGATAAGATAATATTTTGTCATCAGATAAAAAACATGAAACTATTTTACATAGGGAGGATATCCCTGAGTTTTTCACACTTAAAATAGAATCAAAACCAAGTGTTCAACGCAATGATTATAATGATCACCCGTGATGCAAAGAATAGAACCGAATGTCATATTAGGATGCGTACCGAATGTCACAGGAAATGCGTTAGTAAATAAAAAAACGGGGTAAATTTCATAATATCAACAACAAAAGCATAGCGAGATGACTCATAGATACACTTCGTGTTTAAAAAACGAAAGTATCCTGAGCCTTTGAGTTAGTTTCGGTCAGATTAACTCGTTAAATTTAAGTCAAAAGCGGATGTTTCGTTTTTGGTTGATTTAATTTCATACCTTTTTAAATGAAATGATCCGAAACGAGAAACGTTTTTTTACAAATCCGTTAGTTTTTAAGATTGATTGAAAATATTGACAGGTTAATTTAAGTCGAATTATTGGTACTCCCGTATGTATATGTACCAAGGAAAATACTGATTGGGGTTAGGCTTTCCGGTTGAACTGAGAATATTTAGATGTATTACGAGTTCGGAGACTGTCTGTGTTAGCCATTCCTTTACACAACTTAATGTAACGTAGGCTAACAAATTTAGCTACCTCCATATTGGTACACACACTTCTGAAGCGCCGAATTATTGAAAGCGATATTTGGCGCATCATGCTCGCAAGTTTGAATCCTGATGGGGATAATTATATGCTGGAGAATCGCTAGACTCCTCACAGTCCTGGGGTTGTTCAGGTACTCATTGATCAGCACAGTTTTCTCGACATGGACGAGTAGCCGAATGAGAGAGCGTGGCTCACTATGAGTAAGCCGTCTTATATATTATACCTCCCCATGGAAAATATGGAATTTCCATCATGAATTGAGAGTTTGATCGGACTTGGGCTTTTAAACCAAGATCTTTAATCTGCGACTCTAACCTAGACAGATCAAAAGCTTTGGAATTCTTTTTGCGGAGTTGAAAAGATTGGGGAACCATTGAAAAGTAGGGTTCTTCCAAGCTGAGGTAGTCCGTGCCTAGCAGCTTTTTATCTAGAGTCGTGTTCTGGTCAAAAATATGAAAAAAAGTACTCACAGCTGTGTCCTTATCCGTCGCTTTTAACTCAAATTCAGTGATGGTTTTCCTGACTCCCTCCTGGACTCTGATTCCTTTATTTTGTAAAACTGGGAGAGAATTGTCGACCGGAAGAACAGTGATGAAAAACTCCTGGAAAACCTGAAAAGAAAGATTTCATATGAATGATAAGTAGAAAATTCCAAATCATGGATGTGTCAGTAGCCCAGAGGTGGTCAAAGTTTTTGGACCGGGAGCCAACAATTTTTCCAAACCTAAACTGGCGGGCCATGTAAGTGTGACGTAAAGTGTTACATTTCACAAATTCATAATTTTCAGTGTTACAATAGCAAAGCAAACAATGAGCCTCGAGGCAAACATACTAAATTTGATCGAAATCTCAACAAAACATCAAAATTTGGTTTTAGTTTGGCTGTGGAAGCATCATGCGGAGCGGGAATAAATTACCGAGCGGGCCGGATTTGGCCCATGTCAGGACTAGCCAGAATATAACCATCCGAGCGGATAAATACCGATGCTGCTATGTTAGGCTTTATGTTTCCCAAGTTATGTAGAATCTCCGAAAACTACTGAGCAAGTGAACCAATAATAGAGCCCTGGAGCGGACTAATCTATGTATGTGAATTAAATAGAAGGCTGCACGACAATAAATTGCACAAAAAAGATTTTCGAGCCCAAAGGCTTAGAGCATCTTATTACAGGATTTCAAAACGAAGTTACTATCCAGGCATAACACAGTATAACTCTATAATAATTTTTTTCAAGGGTTCACATTTACTGATCGACACAATGTCACACATCCTGAATATTTATCACAATTGAAAGCACTTTACTATACAAGCAAAAACTAATTCCAGACACGCCAGGTTTCCTGAATAACATTGTGCGCGCTATTCAAAACAGAATTATATTTTAGTGTGACATTACAGCCTATTAAAATTCATATGACCCTTATTTAAGTAATGCTCGACCTTTTTAAATAAACTTTACAGAAATTGGGCTTTTAAAAAAGCTGTAAATTATCTCTTTTTGAATGTGAATATTGCTTTTTACAAAAATTTGATCGAGGTTCGGAGCTCTCACTAAAAACAAAATCAGTGCATCAGTGAGTGCGATGATTTTGCTTTAAATTTTAATAAAAACACTCACACACGCATGCGACGTGTCCACCCAAATCATGGAATTGGCATACCCAACCGACATCAACAACACAGGGAGAAGGGGCACTGACTGACGGCCAGCGATGCCCGCTATTATATCGCACTGCGCGCAAAAATCGTTACTCCCGTGGTATGTGTACCAGGTTAGGGTTCATAATTTTATTCCGATTTTCCTTTTTCAGTTCTATTACAATTTCGGGGACCGTCTGTGTTAGCCAAGTGAATATCCCCCTCCCATTGGTTTCAGTCCCTTTACACAACTTGATGTAAATTAGGAGACCGCAATTAGTTACCTCCATATTGGTACACATACTTTTGGAACGCCCAAAAATCTTTATCAGAGGTCATTCATAACACCGCAATGAGTCATAGATTGCAAAACTGACCGTGTTCGAGCGCGGTGGTCAAGAATGTTGTGTTTCTGATCAGCGTTCATTCACACCATACTGTTATAAAAAGCAGTAACCTTCATATCATTGTACAGTCATTATATATAGGGTGTCCATAGAGTCTTGAATTTTCTTTAAATTGCAAAGGGGATTCATTGATACCAATCATACCATATATTGTTCTGGTCCTTACAGATGTATTGAATGAAGTAAAAATACTTGAACAACTACTGATTAAAAAAATAACAAACCTGGTTACGATATATTGAGAACTGACTTCATAACAAAATTGAAATTGTAAAGGAACTTCATGGATACCCTGCAAAGTTATCAAGACGCTATAATCTATATGCCGGTCGTTGTAAAACTTTGGTTTAGTTGGGTCAAGAGTCCTAGCTATAACGTGCCATTACAGCGGGTTACATTTCCGGCCACGTCAGGGGTAAATACAAATGTTCCACAAGATATTATATACAGAAGTCACCATAAAATCTGTATTTTTCGATTTTTTAACAGCAAACGGATAATCCTTTATTTTGGTATTTTTGGTCAGTAATACCAATTGCTTAAACTCTGTTTGCAATTTTAGAAATTTTAACTAATTTGCAAATTTTCGTCCCGGTGTCATTTTCAGTTAATTAGTGAGTAATATTTTGGGCAAAATATTTGTTCAGAAAATCGAGATAAATCGCCCTGGACAAAGAAATAAACAAGATTTAACTAAAATACAATCCGGTAAAATCCGGCCTATTTCCGGTTTGACTCACTCCACTCATTTTTAACTACTAAGGGTGGTCAATTTTTTTGAGGGAGCGTAAAGCTAATTAAAGATGAAAATATTTGTTAGATTTGATCTTGCCCGCCGTATTTTGGATATTTAAATTTCAAACATTTTCGTTTATTTCATTATTTATGAGAAACTTGTTCGGAATAAAGGCAACAGACCGGCCTATAAAAATATAAGTTACCCCAAAGCAAGGTTTTAGTCTCCTAGTCCAAATCACACTCGACGCAAGGCTAAAGCAGTACTATGCCACAATTATAAATTGCTATAATAAATAAAAGCTGTTTCTAAAATTCGTCATCTTAGCTTCAAGTTTTGATTGATGGCTCGAGTAAATATTTGTTTTCACTGAACTGATCAGTTTCGGACTTAAGATAAAACGCCAATGACTTGGAAAAATGTTTTCACTAATTCCACTTTCCAACGAATAGTAAATAATATTAATGGTGGATTTATGTGAATTCGTGATTCTAAGTTTGTTTAAGATTGGACGAGATTTCGATATGTAGGTCAGCTCGCTCGAGTGAGTTTATCAACGCAGCACGGGTTCCTTTGCGCAAAACGCTAAATATTAGTAAATCGAGGATTATTTCTATAAATGGCCTAATGCACTGGGTTGGCATCGCCGAAATGAAAATTGAATATTTCATTTCGGCGATGCCAACCCATAGATGATTGCTGACACAGAGTCTTTCTCAGAAGGAGTATTTAAAATGATTATATGAAGAACGATGAATATAAGCAAACCGAGTGTTATTTCAATAAATTGGGCTAAATAGGACTCGGCAATGTTGAAACTAAAGGACTCCCTGCTTTCAAAATGGCAGCGCCTTGCGTTTAAGTGGACACAAGTACAGAGTATTGCTCGGGATAGCGGTGAAACAAAATTATAAAAATGTTACAATGCAAGTTGAAAAGTTTAGGTTGTTTTCATAATGAATCTTTAATAAATGACTAGAAGTTTCTAAAGTATTTACATTATGATATTTCGAAATGTGGAATGTGCGTTGCTTCAGAGGCCAAAATTTATCCCGAAACCGGACCGGTATATTACGAACGAAAAACGAATAAACATCGCTTTCGCGACAATAAGTTAACGACGTTTCTCTTCAATAGAACTAAAGATGACAATTTTATGACTCGTAAGTATTGTTAAGACACAATAAAACTCTTCTTAATCCTATTGTTTATTGTGTTGCAATAAACACGTTGCTTCAATCGTAACAATGTAATCGTTCAAGTGTAAATGATTAATCGTTAAATTGTCATCTGACCTGACAACAATGCGAGTTACAAAAACCGTTAATAATAAGTTGTAACTTCTGTTAGATTTTCTTGGTCAGGTATTTACTGGAATTAGCTGACGACTAACCTTACGATTAGTCGACGCGACTGGGATATAATTTTTCTCATTTATTCCGGAAAAGGAAAGCCGATAATACGGCTTAATAATATGGCGAGCCACAGCCAGCCCTTGTACGGTTGCCAGTCCAGGAAATAATCATTTCACCACTTTATTGATTCATAGTCCTGGTATTAGATGGTGGTGGAGGCCATTAACGACCAATAGTTGCGTTGCGAGAACCACATTGCGACGTCGGGGAATCCGGTAATCCTCTCTCACATAATTATCCTCCGCGGGATTCGAACCCGCTTATCCACGAAGGGTGTTAAAGTTCCCGTATTCCCAACGCATACCGCGATGCGCAACACTCGACGGGTAGAATCTTGGAGTGGCTAATTTTCAAAAATTGAAAAGGGAGGGGGGAGGGATATAATGGGGGTCTGAGCGAAGCTGTGACTTGCCGGGATGATCGAGTCCCGTATTTCGTATTCCTAACGTGCACCACTGGGCGCCAACTGACGACAGAACGAGACGTGAAGTTACTACATATTTCAAAGAAATTGGAGTAGGCCCTTCCAGTTTTCATTATTTCTCTTATATGTTTACATACAGTATACTTGTGATTAAACCCTCATTCATAACATAAGTTGACATTTTTAGAGATATTTAAAACACAACGAAAACAATAGAGCACATTGTGGTATATATGAAACCGTCCAATCAATTTTGGGGTTGGAGTCGAGTAGTCGGCGTGACGGGGTAATCGAATCTCATAGGGGCGCCGATGATTATTTGACCAGACGGCGAGTGCGTGTTGTATTGTGTTACAAAGACGAATTTTAAATTTTACAAAAGTAAAGAAATTTTCTCGATTAATATTTGCATATCTGTTCAAATAAGATTAAGTTCAATAAAATATCGTTGCGGTCTTATCAAACGAGTGAATACATTTTATGAGGACGGAATATTACCGGTATTGCAAATAACTTTGCAGAACTGAACTGTGCAAGCAAGGGCAATGAGTAATAATATTGTTGTTACGCTATCGAATTCGTGGTCGAGATGGCTTAGCCACTACAGCTCTGGACTTATCCACGCTGATACCGCAGATTAAATTCGAATCTTTTCTCAAAGTCCCACCCGGAGTTATGAAAATGTTACATGCCTACAGCTCTATTCTGAGAAAAGTTATAGGAAAAATTATTTATATAGTAATGTGTTATATATATATAATAAGGCGACACGTGAGATAAACATAATTCGAGAAAAAGTGTCAAAATCTGAAAAAATTCCACAAAATGGAATCGCTTTGTTCTAAGACTACAATCAAACTCACTGATCTTGTCTAAAACTTTTAATTTTATTTAAATTCTTCGCATTGCTCATAACCGCAGTAGATTCTAATTTATGGCCTCTGATGCGAGTCGAATTATCGAAACTAAAAATATACCGCAATAAACAGT